CCACGCCCCAGAGCCAGGCACAGGGCTCCCAATGTCCGGGAACTGCAGTCTGCACCTAGTCAGTGCTGGAGACTCCACAGTGCAGCCTGGGGCTTCGACCTCAAGGTCAAAGCCCACCGTAGACCACAGAGAAAGACACCAGCAAGGGCCCAGGCACCCTCCGCAGTCCCCTGGCCAGGCACCGGGAGTCTTGGGTGCTCCGAGCCTGGGGGTCCTGCCAGCATGTCACAAGCCAGAGGCCATGACAGCTGCCCTGTGGACAGCACCGTCCGCACTCGCCCACAGTGGGTGGACCCCTGTGGGATCTGAGAAACAGCTCCTGGAGGCCAAGCAGAAGGTGGGGTGCCAGGCTGGCTGTGACCCTGTGTGAGAAGATGCCCTTGAGCTGAGGCCTCCCCCCACAGCCACAGGGTCAAGCCCACAGGGCAGGACCTGGCACAGGGCCCCCAGTGTCGCTGTGGAGGCTGAACTTCCTGTTTCTCAGGTGGGCTCCAGCCGCATCCTGCCTCCGGAGGTGTTTGCTCTCTCTTCTGCCACTGGGTCCCCAGCAGCAAGTCCCAAGCCCCAGCCCCTCCTACCCAGGGGCCCAGCTGCCTGGGAGACCCCCACCCCTTGCAGGACCCCTTCCTAGCAGCCTCCTGGCCCCTACCACCTCCAGGCCTGGAGAGTGAGGCCCAGAGCAGACCCAGCTGCCTGAGGGCTTCTTCTGGGCAGGACCCGGTCCCCAAGGAGGTGATTATGTTCCAGTGGAGGAGAGGCGTCCCTTGCCTCCCCAGTCCCTGCCTTGAGGGCCACTGAAACCCTCTTGGGGAGGTGGGAGCAGGTCCTGAGGCCACAGCCGGATGAGCATGGTCACTGTGGTCACCTGGTACTGACTGTCCAAGACCCTGTGCTCGGGAACCAGACTGCAGGGTCCCCCATGTCCCCTGGAAATGTCCGGGCGGACTGGGGTATGACTCCCTCTGCCTGCAGTCCCAGGTTCACGTTCCTGCCTGTGAAACCTGAGCCTGGGGAGCTGAGCTGATGCCCTCTTCTGCAGGCCTTGGCCTGGTACCTGCCTGACCACACCTCACACGTCCGCAGGGACTGAGCAGGCTCAGTCACCCACGTCCTGTGGAAGCCCCCTCCAAGAACCTGGCCCAGCCCCTCTTAGAAGACAAGAGAGTCAGGGAAGAGCAGCTGTGAGAGACCCCAGATCAGACCCACCTAGCACACCTGTAAGCCAGGGATGGGCCTAGGGACAGCAGGTGACCAGGTGGCACCAGCCCCACTGCCAGGGCTGTGGTCTAGCCTGGAGGGGAGCCAGTCCCCACAGAGGCCCAGACTGCCGCCACGAAGGCAGCCCAGCGGTGCCCTAGGGGCTGTGCACGTCCTCCCCCGGGTCCTCATGACAGGGCTGAGGGCCGCCTTCTACTCTCAGCCCCGGGAGGGCCTGTCCTGACCAGGGAGGTCCCAGACACCACGCAGACGCCTCACCTCTGCCCAGCACTGCAGCTGTCCGGCCCTGAGAGGAGCCCCCTTCCCTGGGACCACCTCTCTCAGGGCTCCGTGTGTCACGGCTCCTCGGGGAGCTCCCCTGGCTTGAGTCCCCGCTGCAGGCCAGGCAACCCTCAGCACAGAGCAGAGCTGGCACTCCCCAAGCTCATGCCAGGACCCACCCAGGAGGCAGAGGGTGCCAAGGGTGACACCAGCCAGCCCCTTTGAGGCCCCCCACATCCCTCCAAGAGGTCTCTGGGGAAGTTAAGCCCCCTCCTCCCTTTCCTCTTGCTTTGGACCTGGGCTGTCCCCATCAACATGGCCCCCATCGTGGAGGTATGAGCCAATGACATCCAGAGGGCACCACAGGTGGAGGGCGTGTGAGGAAACCCACATTCTCACTCAAACACCTTGCACAGTGAGGAGGCAGGAGGTCACACACAGCACATGCTGAGAGATGACCTTTACCTTGCAAATCCCAGCTGCCCCCCTCAGCCTGAGCACAGCCCCCCTCACCCAGCACACCATGGACCTCAGACGCTCCCCAGTCACTGTGGTCCCAGGTCACCTCTGCCTTTCATTCCAAGGGCCTCACAAGAGACCAGGCTGAGTCCAGGCTAAGAGGCTGCTGCTCTCTGTGGGGCCAGCGAGCAGTGGTCAACCCTGGCAGTTGGCTATGGTCCTGCAGCTGCTGCAGCCCCAGGGACACAGTGAGTCACCCTCCCTTGGTCATTGAGCGCACGGCCCCTGTCACATTATTCCCACAGCCGTTGGAAGGACAGGTGCTTAGGGGTGGGTCGCCGCCCTCAACCTCCTCCCAGAGTATCGTGTGTATGTGGGGTCAGTGCTCCAGGATCCAGGACCCCTGCCCAGGACCTTTCCTCAGCTTCAGTGCCGGGTCCAAGACTGGCAGCCCCTTCGTACAGCCATGGACCTGTTTTTTTCTATTTTCTCTGCCCCCCACACCCAGAATGGAAGACCTTCTCCCTCTTCCCCTGGAGAGCCCGCCCCACAATGCCACCCTCTCCCTGCTCTGCACACATATGGCTTCCTTCATGCCCCTCTCCCGCCCAGCCCACCTGGCCTGGCCACTTGCCCAGGCTCTGTCCATCTCAGCCTGGCCGCTCTCATTGCCCCCAGGACCTCCTTGCCAGGCAGAGCCAGCTTTATGGGGCCTTGAGGGTAGACGTGGGAAGGGTCAGCATATCCTGCCTCCACAGCTGACCCAGGCCAGGACCTGACTGCAGCCCTTCCTCTCCCTGGACCCTCTGAGCCAGCCCTGACCTACCCTGAGCCTAGGGATGGCTCTGTCTCTAAGCCCTCTACTGCCCTCTGGTGACAAGTTCCTGGACTGTCTTCCACCCTCTGGCCTCCCACAGCTTTTTGGCTGAGGGTCTCCCAGGCCCAGCCACACCCTCTACCCTCAATGAGCACAGGCCAGTCGCCCCCTGGTGGCAGACTGGGGCGGGGCAGGGGAGCCACTGTCAGACACTGCAGACCTCCCTTGGTGGAGGGAACAAGGCTGGCCTCCAGGAAAGTCTCAAGCTTTGAACTTCTCTGGGGCAGTTGCTTGTTAGGAGAAAGGAGCAAGCCACCTGGGTGCTGCCCTGGTGAAGACTTGGTGGCAGCAACACGGAGGGCGCCAGTCCTCGGCCCTGTCCAGGCCCACACTAAGAAAGGAGAGCTGGGGGAGGAGTGAGCCCCAGAGAAGGGGCGGGCCCAGCCGGTACCACATCCCTCCTGGGGCAGTGGAGACAGGTGTGGGGTAGCCTGCCTCCACCAGGCTGGAGAGAAAGGGCCACTGGGAGGGGCCAGCTGGACGTCCGTCCTCTGTCCCTCCCTGCTGTTTGATGTCCTCCGGGGCCTGCAGGCCCTCTTCCAGGTGTGTTTCCACATACATTGGTCACTTTTGGGCATTCCCCTGTTCTTTTCAGGGGCTTTTGCAGGGGATCAGGCTCCTGTGAAAGGAGGCCTGGTGCTGCTGCCCTGAAACTGGCATGGAGGAAGAGGCTCTGTGCCAGGCAAGGACATCTCCTCCTCTGAGCCACGGGTGACCTTGTGTCCCTGCCTTCTCCTGCCCCGCCTCCACCTGTCCTCCCTCTGCCCACCCAGGGACCCCAGTTCCTACATCAGATGAAAGACCCCGGTCTCCAGAGACCACTCTGCCAGCCTCATGATCATGGGAGGCCAAGACCCCATACAAATCCCCACTCCCTGGGAACTCCTCCACATCCCCTACAGCAAGCCCCAAGAGCCCAGTCACCATGTCCTGCTCACCCCTGGCTCCCAGACAGCATTTCCAAGATGCACAGTCAGCCACCCAGTGAGAGCTGAACTCCAATCTCCCGTCACTGGGGATGCTAGCTTGGCAGGATAACTCCTGTCACTGAATTTCTGGCTTTCAAGCTTGTTACAGTGACGAGGGCTGGGGCTAAGGACAGAGTTCAGTGGCAGTGCTTGTCCAGTGTCACGAGGTCATGGTTTCCAGCTTTGGCATCACCAAAACCAAACAAAAAAACTGCAGGTGTGGAGGCTTCAATCCATTTCCCAGCTGAGCTCTGGGAGAGAGCATGCCCCCTGGCCCTTCACTGTGTAGGTGGGGGACCTAGACCTTTCCTGCCAGGACTGGCCTCAAGACTGCAGTTACAGCTGGGCCCTGTTCCCAGGCCCTGCACCCTGTCCACTGCCCCACCACATCAACAGACAGCTCATCCTGCTTCCACCGCCTTCAGGAGTCTCAGATGCATTTCTGTCCTGGGAGAGGACTCCTGTGGGAGGCTGCCCCTGCTGATGACCAGCCAGCTCCAGGGATGGCCCTTCAGGGGGCAGGAAGAGGTTTGGGCACTGTTCTGAGGAAATGAGGCCACGGTCCCTGCAGCCCTGGGCTGCAGAAAGGTTCAACACCCCCCCCCCCTTTCATGTGTTACCATTTCCTTGCAAAAGGGCTGTTTCCATTGTTCACTTTCTCTGAGCTATGTCAACACTCTCGGCCCACAACTTCCTGGTGGCTGCTATCACAGTCCACGCTGATGCAGTTCTGGACTTGGTAATGGAAATGAGGTGAGTTCAGGAGTTTAGTGGAAACCGGCTTGTCACATGAACAGCCTAGGTGACACAGCACCATGTCTGAACACAACAGCTTCTGAAAAAGTTCACTTCTGCTGGAAGGAGGTACATGTCCCAGCAACACAAAAGTTCTGGGAAGGGGCCCAGGCCAGCCTGCCCCCACCTCATGAACCCTCCCTGCACACGCTCCCCACCCTGGACCCTCCCAGCGGTGTCTCTTCCATCCACACACTGACACCCTTCTGGCCTCAGTGAGGACTTCTGTCCAGAACTCCTGTGGAGGGACCTGGAGGGGACAGACACTCTGAGCCCAGCACTGCGCCCAGCCTTGAAAGCAGTCCTCACCTGTGTACCAGGAAATGAACAATAGCACCCTGTTTTTAGTTATTGTGGTAGTTATTTAAATTATTCAACAGTCAGCTTACGAATAAATTTTTTTAAAAATCAGAAACAGTGAAAACCTTTATCAGGAACTTTAATAAGAATTTAAACAGAAAACCTCTTTGTATTTGTATCCCTCAATTTGGAAGTGCAGGGGTCATAAAAGATGAAAGAGTACTGAGTTCATGTGAGATGGTCCAAGTGCTGGGTGAGAAGCAAGCTATTCACTTCCTGATGCTGAGTCAGAGGTGTTCGTCGAGGACCTTGTCATCTGAAGGCGTCTGTTCCCCCTATACTACCGCCAGAGCTTTTCTTCTCTGCCACCAGGGGCAGCAAATGCAAGACTTGGGCTCGGTGCGCTCAGCAAGCAGCAGCCCAGACACAGCCTGCTCTACGACGGCGGCGTCATCCTTCCGGGGAGGGAACCCGTTTCCCGGATTTCTTACTATTTCGGTCATGGTGAGCAGGGTCGGGAAAAAGGAAACCATAACGATGAATAACCCTGGGATGATGGAATAGCAGACTACTGACGCAGGAAGCTACGTGCATGAATCTCAAACCGCGACGCCAAGTGAAAGGAGACGTCCCGGGAGCACGTACCAGTGCTATCTATATGCGCTCCCGGGACAGGCAAAACTCGTGGACGGCAGAGCAGTGACGCTGCTGGGGCTGCAGGTGGGCAGAGCGGGAAGGGCTTGGAGAACGTTCCCGGGCGTGATGCTCGGAGCTGTCGCCTGCACTAAACTCGCGACGCGAGGTTAAGGCTGTGCGCTCCGCGGTCCCTGAACCTGGCACCTACAAACACTCCACCAGGGCAAGTGCGCTAGAGCTCGGGGCCACGCGCGCCAAGCCCGCGAGGCTGGCTACCAAGTCGGGCTCCCGCACTCGCACGCCAGCCCCCACCCGCCAGGACGTCGCAGCCAGGCGCCGAGGCTCGGCGCGCGCTCCGGGAGGGTTCTGGCGACGGGCAGGGGCAGGGCCAGGGCCGGGCGCCTGCGGCCGCAGGTTACGCGGACTTCAGCTCACGTGCCCCACTGGTCTCCTTGGGCCGGAGGCCTCAGTTCGGAGGCTACCGAGACGCGGCCCAGGAGGACCAGACCCGTGAAGGTTCCGGGGATGGCCCTCCTAGGGAGCCGTAGCCAAGACGGTCGCGGTCTCCCTGGGCACATGACCCAGGCCTGGCCAGTCACAGAACGCCAGGCTCCGGTCTGAGTGATTGGGTCAGAGACAGGCACATGACCCACGATGGACCAATGAGAGCCCAGCCATGAATGCTGAAGGTGGAGCCAGAGTCAGTTGAGCCGCGGGCAAAATTTTCACTTTCCTCTGAAGACGGCCGAGTGCCAACCAGTGTCCCAGGGAAACTTGCGCCCAGTCCGAGGTCCGAGCGCGCGGGAACCACGGCACGCGTCGTAACTGATGGCCAGCCCCGATGTCCCCAGGGCGCCGGCGGTTCGGTCGCGGGTGGGTCTAGGATCCATACAGGGCACGCGCGCCGCGTGGCAGGTGACAGTATCCAGTGACTCTAGTTGCAAATTACGAAAAGCCCATCGCTATGGTCCTGAGAAGTCGGCTGAGGACGCCGTCAGGTAACAACGCCCTGCAGGTGCCTGAGACGGGAGGGCAGCGAGCATGGCCTTATGGACCACCGAACTCCCGAGGAACCCTTGGACTCGTTAGCTACAGTGCATTTGCTACGAAACACCCTTAATGTCTGCAATTCGGTGTTGTCGGCATATTCGGAGTCGAGCAGATATCACTGATGACCGATTTTACTTTTTCATTTCCCAGAAAGAACCTGTACCCACTAGCAGTCACTCTCTCCGCTCCTCCCCCAGCCCTAGAAATCTACTGTCAGTCCCTACAGACCTACCTTTAATATCTCATGGGACATACTTATACTAAAAAATTATCTGTTGCTTATGACTTCCCAGTAAGAACCCTAAAGCTTAGGAAATAATGCCAAGAATTAATAAATGGGATGGCATCAAATTAAAAAGCTTCTGCACAGCAGAGGAAGTAATTAGGGAAATAAAGAGAAAACCAACAGAATGGGAGGAAATCTGACAGGATTAATAAATAGAATATATAAAGAATTCAAAAAACTTAGCAGCAAAAAAGCAAATGATCCGATTAATAAATTAATAAATGAACCAAACATACATTTCTCAAAAGAAATACATATGGCCAACAAATGTATGAACAAATGTTCAACATTGTTAACAATTAGGGAAATGCAAATCAAAACTACCCTACATTGGGGTTGTGACTGGGTTTGATCCTCAGCACCACATAAAGATAAATAAAGGTATTGTGTCCATCTTCAACTAAAAAATATTTTTTAAAAACTGCATTTTACATTTTAAAAAACTTCAGTGAGATTTCATTTCACTCTAGTCAATGGCAGTCATCAAGAATACAAAAAATAAATACTAGAGCAAATGTGCAGGAAAAGGGACACTTTTACACGGTTGGGGGGACTGTCAATTAGTACAATCACTATGGAATTCAGCATGGAGTTTTCTCAAAAGTCTAGGCATGGAAGCACCTTATGATCCAGTTATACCACTCCTCAGTATTTATCCCAAAGAATTAAAGTCAGTATACGACAGTGGTACATGCATCCCCATGTCTATAGCAGCAGGATTCACAGCAGCCAAACTATGGACCCAGCCTATGTGTCTATCAGTGATGAATGGATAAATAAAATGTGGTATATTTTGGAGTTATATTCAGCCATAAAGAAAAATGAAAGTATGTCATTTGCAGGAAAATGGATGGAAATAGAGACCATCATGTTAAATGACATAAGTCAAGCCCAGAAGGTCAAGGGTTGTATGTTTTCACGTGTGCAGAAGCTAGAAAGGAAAACAGCAAAGGAAGGTAGGGGTGAATCTTTTGAAAATTGAAGGGAGATCAGTAGAGGAAGGGACCAAAGGGAGGGGGGAAGGGAGGGGGGAAGTGCTGGAGAGTGATATTGGCCAAATGATGATCATATTGTGTACATGTATGAATATGAAACAGATCCCACCATTACTTACAACTACAGTGTACCAATTAAAATGTGGAAAATTTATATTTTGCTTATCTGAAGTAAAAATCTATCTATACTTTTTTATCTGCTAACTCTGGCCACCCTGAGGTGGGTGTTGGAGCACCCTCACCTAGGAGGTGATAAGAGCCCATGGACATTTGACATACATCACTACCACCTCCAGATTTCCAAGAAGACAGGCAGGCATCCGTTCCCTTCCTTGACTCTGCATGGACCCTCAGGGGCTCTCTGGCCTAGCCCTGTGACGTTTCTGGACTCAAGGTGTGATACCAGGAGAGGGAGAGTTAGTAAGGATGATTTTAGGCCTAACACACCCAGATCTTTCAAGAGTGTATTATTGTCCAAATTTTTCTTTATTCCATACTTACTAGTTCTCTTTCCATATTTAAAAATAGTTCTATTGAGTGTTTCTTAAATTATGACATTAATTTCTGTTGTTTTTCCTTTTCTTTTTTTTTTTTTTTTTTTCTTTTTTTGTAGTTGGACACAATACCCCTATTCCATTCATTTATTTTCGTGTGGTGCTGAGGATCGAACCCAGGGCCCCACACATGCTAGGCAAGCGCTCTATCGCTAAGCCACAATCCCAGCCCCTATTTCTGTTGGTTTTCATCATCTCCCATAACTTCACAATGGGTATCCTGTGGCTGGTGCATCGAGTGGCCAGTCTTCTCCCTGCCAGGTCAACAGATGCTCTCCAGAAAGTCAGTGAGGCTCTGCAGCTGGCTCACCAGCTTTCTATCTTACAACCAATTTTCTTCTTTTATTTGTGTTTTGTTTTGTTTTTGCATTGCTGGGGATTTAGACCCAGGACCTCGCATATGCTAGGCAAGCACCCTACCATTGAGCTACATCCCCAGCCCGTTTTTAAAAATTATTTTGAGATAGGGTCTCACTGAGTTGCCCTAGCTGACCTTGAACTTGCGATCCTCCTGCCTCAGCTCCTGGGTATTGGGACCACAGGTGGGACCCCCTTGCCTGGCTTCCTTCTTTCTTTCTTTTGATGGACCTACTTTAGGCAGTCCCTGGGTCATGGAATATGCAAGGTCTCTCTGATTCCATCGCAGCACTCCACTGAATCATTCCTTGCTCATTCCCCTGACCCATGGGCAACCCTGTTGATGTGTTTTGTGTGCTTGTATTTTATCATCTCAAGAAATGATAGATTTAAAGACCCATTGTTATTAGCAAGCTGGGAGTAACAGGGAAGACCTTTAGCTTGTTGTGGGAACAATCGGAAAACTAAAGCAATTTTTAAGCATTTTTTAGGTAACATTTTTAGTTTAGAATGAATTTAGGTTTACAGATCAGCTGTGGAGATATCAGAGAGTTCCCACACACCCCACACCCAGTTTCCCTTCTGTTAACAGCTTCCATTAGGGCCAGTGTTGGTGCATCACTAAAGCTCATACTTCATCCAAGTTCCCCGAGATGCTTTTCTCTCCAGGATCCCATCCAAGATCCCACGTGACACTTATCTGTCCTGTCTCCTCATGGCTATGCTTTCTCAGACTTCATTGTTCTCGTCTTCACAGTTAGGAGCACTGGTCAGGTGTCTTTACACTGTCCCTCTGCTGGGATTTGCCTGATGTTTTCCTCCTGTTTTGACTGGGGCTTGGGATGTTAGGGAAGGAAGATCACAGAGACAAAGTGCCTTTCCCACCTCATCGTTTCAAGAGGCAATGCTCCAATGAAGGATTCTTTCCCCCAACTCCTCATACTGTACAGTCAGTATGCACAGTCCACATGGAGGACCAGGAAGCTGATGGGCAGCACCAGTGGTCATTCTGTCCACTGCTTGGACAGTCAGGCCTCTGATATTTCCAAGAAGTGATCAGGACAGGGTTGGATAGCAAGCCTGCTGAGAGCCTCTGATGGAGATGGTGGTTAAAACCCGAGTCTGGAAGTGTCTGGGCCAAGTGCCTGCCATTGCTTCAAAGCCTGGAGCACCCAGACCCCAGACTGCAAGCCCAGCTGGCTCTCCACTACTCTAGGGCTCCCCTGTGCCCCGCATGCCTCCTCTCCATGGAACCCTTGCACTCACCCAGGGTAAACAGAGCTGAAGAGCTTCTTGCTGCCATGTGGGTTGCTGCACCTCCCTGGCTTTGTGCAAGAGGCAGGCCAAGCCTGGAAGGCTCCTGGTCCCTCCTCTTCAGGGTCTGCAGGAAAGGATGCCATCCTGCTAGGGGGCCACAGTCCATTGCCACAGACGAGGGCAGCAGAAAGGACACATCGTCCCCACTAGCGCAGAGCTCTTCTTGTCCGGAGGAGAGAGCATATTGACGGTGTCCTGTGGGAGAGTGGGGCAGATGCCAAGAACCTTGGTTAATTCCAGCTTCCTTGGGGAAGCCCACCCACCAGGGGCTCTGTGATTTGCCTGAGCTCAGGAGGGTATGGGGCTTCTAACAATGCCAAGGCAGAGGGAGGGATGTTCCTGAGCCAGGGAATGAAATACTGGGCCAGGGAACCCTGGGACACCTTTGCCCACAAAGACTGGAGCTGCACCCAGCCCAAGGGCCAGTCAGGTCCAAGCATCCAGTATTGGGATGAGCATCCTAGCTCAGACTCTAATGTCAGACCTGAACCATCTCCGTTCAGAGAGTACAGCCCCTGCCTCAAATGTCCACAAACGTGGGCCACCTCTACCTTGTCCAGGGCTAGCATAGTAGAACTCCTGCCACTGCCTGGCCTCTTCGGGGGGTCCATGCTCACCTGACCCAAAGCCTCAGCAGGAGTCCGTTCCACTGAGGCCACCTTTGCATGGCCAGGGCTTGCTGCAGTTGGGGGCTGGGTCTGGCAGGAGCTCTTTGTCTTGGCCCTACTGGGCCATTCCCTGTGGCAGGGAGCAAAATCAGCCCCAGCTGAGACCCCTGGTCTCTGGCAGACTGTCCAGCTCTGCAGCCAAACCCAGGTATCACTGAGGTTGGAATGTGGTTTGCTTTTCTACTTTAGTTCCACATGGCCAGTGGCTGCTGTCTTGTGTAGTGCACCCGGGAACCCTGCACCGCAGCCCTGGGCTCCGTCAGGCCTCAGTTGAGCTGGGATGGATCTAAGGAGGTTAGGACATGAACTCACCTCCATTGCTCTGGTATGGGTCAGGGATTGCTTTCCTCTAGCCAGTCAGTCATCAGGGTTGCACCAAGCTCTGAAAACCTAAAGGACTTTTTTCCCTTGGGTCCCTTGGATGTCTGGGTCTCACCTGAGCCCTAGGGGACCCCAGCACTTCCTGGCCTTACCCTCGGCCTTTGGCTGGGTGTTAGCTTCATTCAGCATGCACATACCCCACCTCTCTCTCCTGGAACACCCCTACATCGCACCATGGACCTTCACCCTAACCCCTCTCCCTCTGGCTAAGGCCGCTCTTTGTCCTTGGGACCTTAGTGAGTCCCCTGGAAGCTGCCAGAAGCTGCTAACAGCAGCCCTTCTGGGTTCCCCCAATAGCCTCTGTCCAGCCAGCAATTGTATTCACTTGTATGTGGGTTGGCTTGTCCATCTTCACCCCCACCTTCGACAAGGACAGGGACCCTATCAGATCATGCTACCCCTGGGGGCCCAGACCAAAGCCTGCAAGTAAAAGGGGAAGTAATCCAGCCAGAAATGGTCTCCCAGAGGTTTCTTCCAGGGGTTCCCTGGGGGCAGGGGAAAAGAGCACCCAGACGTCAGGTCCACTACTCCAAGCCTATATGGACCCTCCTCAAGCTCCAGGAAGTTTCCTGGACTGGCTGCCTTTCCTACCCACCAGGCAAGAGCAGGTCCCCAGAGTTCCTCCACAGACAAAGGACACAGGCTCCTAAAGCTCCCCAGGCTGTCCACAGCTCCACATCACCTCCTGGGGCTTACTGCCCATTTCCTGTGCCCCCATACACTTCCTGGCCTCTAGCCTGCTCTCCATACCTCCCTCCCACACACAGTCTCCCAGTTGCCACCAGGAGCTCCCTGAACTTGGAGCAAGGGCCCAGAGGAAGCCATAGCAGCCACCAGGTCTTTAATCCCCAACACCAGGGTGTTCCATGAAGCCCAGACCAGGGCCAGTCACAAAGTTCCGCAGTAAGCCAAGAGGGCTAGTCACATCAGGACACAGGGGCAGAGGCTAGGCCTTGGGCTCCAGTGGGTATGAGCACTGCCAGTCTCAAAAAGCCACTAGGGCAGGGGCTGGGGCTGCAGCTCAGTGGCAGAGCACTGGCCTAGTATGTCTGAGGCACTGGGTCTGATCCTCAGCACCACATAAAAATAAACAAAATAAAAGCATTCTGTCCATACACAACTAAAAAGAAAAGCTACTAGTGCAAATCCATTTTTTGCTGTTGGAACAGAATACTACTGTCACATTCCTCACGACTAAAACACTCAGGGTCACTCCAGGTGAACTGGGCTGCATGAAATAACCACAAAAGAGACAGAGATACCTTTTTCTTCGTGTCCTGTGACGGCTCCTCTGACCTTAAGGGTCTGCAGAAAGAGAGAGAGAGCAGGTGCTGACCCCTTTTATTGGGGAGAAGCCACTCAAATGAGGCAAGGGGTCAGGTTTCAGGGAGATGAGTCTAGCTTCCTGATGTCCACTGTCAGCAGATTGACTGATACCTGGGTAGGCCACACCCAAAGTCAGAGCAAGAGAAGGGGACACACAAAGGGTGTTTCCATGGAACATTCTATCCCAAACAGGGCAAGGGGTTAATATCACAAAGGAACAGGTGAGCACAGCTCGACCCCATGGGTGACACGCCTACATCTGAACTACATCTCAACTTCCTGAACCGGGACAATGTCCAAGTCACTGTGAAATGTAGTGATTGGTCAGAGCCTCTTGCTTCAGTATGTGAAGGCTGGGTCATTCAGAGTGGCTCCCCACATACTACCCACTGGGTAATTTATAAGGAATAGAGCTGGGGATACGGCATTTGCCTAGCATGAGCCAGGCTCTGGTTTCATCCCCATCACTGCGGGGTCAGGGGTGCCAATCAATGAGCAGAGATGAAATTTCTTACCCTTTGGAGGCTGAAGAGCCCAAGGTCAAGGGGCTTGCATCTGGCAAGGGCCTTCTGTGCCATCCCCTGGTGGAAGGTAGAAGGCCAAAGGACACGTGTGAGGGGTGGAGGCGCCTAAGTACCCCCTTGTGCCAGGAGCCACTCCTGGGTCTACTTGAGCCCAGAACCGTCCTGTCCTGATCACTTTCTGAAGGGCCTGCCTTGCCGCTCTGTCCAACTGGCATTGTTCACAGCACCTGAACTGTGAGGGACACATTCAGACCGTAACACACAGCCTTGACACTGACCTGCAAGCTGCTCAGGACCACCAGTTTGGGGCAGAGGCAGGCCTCCCCTGATCATCCCCACAAGGATCCTGCTACCTCATATTTTGCTCTCTCCACATGGTGGCTCTATTTAGAGTGTGGGCAAGACTGAGGGGCATCCAGGCCTTGGCTTTGCAGTAGGTGAGTGGGGTGACTTTGTGGTCTTGGGGCACAGGATCTCTCTGCAAAGTCGGCAAAGGAGCAGCAGGGAAAAGTGGGATGGCCCTTTTTTGCAAAATCTGGCTATGGTTCAAACAGCAGACTGAAGGGAATAAAAGTAGTTACTGGGGCAGGGGCTAGGACATCAGTCAGCAGAGAGCTTCAAACACCACAAAGGGGGTTAACTCCTTGCTGCTGGCCATAGAGACCCACCAAAGTTCTGGAGACCTCTCCTGTCACGTGGAAGTATGAGTGAGTGATTCTGACCTGGAGTTTGCAAGCAGGCTGACCCCAGGCTGAGGCCCCCTCGGCACAGGCTGGAGGTCCCCAGAGTTATCATCTCTCCGTTACTAAGGGAAACACAGGGTACTGCAAGATGATCCAGGGCTTACAGAACAGGGCCCACAAATCGGAGGCCCCAACTGTGTGTGGGGCAGCACCTACCAAGCACTCCTTGCAGTGTCTGGGGGCATGCTCAGCTTTTCAGGTGGTCAGTTTGGGACTGCTCTAGCTGCAAGCTGAGCTTGTGGGGGCATAGTAGTGGAAGGAGAGAGAAGGCGCTGGTGTGGTTCCTGAAGTCAGGTTCTATCCCAGTCAGAAATGATCTGGATCCTAGTGCAGAATTATGACCTTAACTCCCACACCCAAGGGTTGGCAAGCTGCCAGGAGAGAATTGACACCATTCACTAAGAGGAAAGCGCTAGGAGTTGTTGTCAGGTCAGAGGGATGCTGGGACCAAGAGCAGGTTGTGGCGGGGCCTGGGATGCCTGGTGGGGGAGGTGTTGGACAGACAGCAAGAAGACAGACTGGGAGCACACAGGATCCCACAGCCACTCACTCCACTGCTGTGAGTGAGGGAGTTCAGGCAACGTCTTGAACTGGACTCTCGTCTTCAAGGCAACTTGACCTGGTGGTTGTCAGTTGGCCTCTGACTATGCAAGGTCAAGGGTGGTTTCCAGCCAGGAGAATGGGGAGGGAAGAGCTAAAGGGGGCCTGGCTAAGACCAGTGAGACTGTGTTCACCTCCCCATGCTCACCCTTTACAGTCCAGCCAGGCACAGGCCAGTGGCAGCAGTTCATGGGCATTTTGGGGGTGATCCTGCCCAGAAAGAGAGGTCATGTTTTTTGTGGAAGTAGTGCCCCCTGGATACTTTGTGCCTCTGCCCAGCCCAAGGGACCCCTCATGGGCAGTTTATCCTCCCCACAGGCAAGGTTAAGAAGTGCCCCTTTGGTGGCTCTTCTGTATGTCAGAAGTCCCTACATACTGCCGTAGTGCTAGTCACATGTGCCAGTACATGGGTGGGTCTATCTGTCCAGCATATAGTGATTCCTTCAGGCTCCCAAGAAGCATCAGGGCCACAAGCAGGTTAAAGACAAAGCAAGACACTCCCAGGTGTCTCTCTTCCTTCAGACTTGACGACACAATATCTGAGATGTTGGCTGCTTCTTCTCTCTGGTCTCATGGCATAAATTCTTTTTTTGTGGTGGGTACCAGAGATTGAACTCAGGGGCACTGTACCACTGAGCCACATATCCAGCCCTATTTTGTATTTTATTTATATTTTATTTAGAGACAGGGTCTAAGTTGCTTAGTGCCTCGATTTTGCTGAGGCTGGCTTTTGAACTCATGATCCTCCTGCCTCAGCCTTTTGAGCTGCTGGGGTTACAGGCATGCACCACCATGCCCTGCCATCATGGCATAAACTGTTGATGTTTTAAGTCTCTGGGTCTGGGTCTGTCTTACTGCCACGTGCCCAGCTTGGACTGACTATACAGTCTGTGACTATCTCATCTCAAAAGTGTCCAGCGCTTGATAATGGACTTCTGGCAGGTGCTGCGCTGTGGGTACAGAAGAGCTTTAATCCCCAGAGCAGGTGCCAAATGTTCAAACATAGGCATCAAGCTGTCCAACGGTCAGGCTGTTCGATGGCCCTTCGTTTTTTGCTGGGCTGTGAGCAGAGATGCATGATTAGAGAGCCTGTGCCTGCACTTACTGTGTGGGGCTTCTCTGGGGGATTCCTCCGTTTGAAGCCAGTTGTCAACTTGAACTTCCACATCCTTGTTTGCTTTTTCCAGAAGCAAGTTCACATTCAACAAGGATCAGATAAAAATGTTGACTTCGTGTCCAGGCTGATGGCACTGAAGGGAGGAGGAGACAGACGTCTGGGCCTCACCCTCTGCACCCTTGGTGGTTTCACCATCCACCGATCTTATTGCCCACTTTGAGGGCCCCAGAGGTAGACAGAGGTGGACCAGGAGACCAGCTCTTCCTCCCCCCTTCGCTTGGTACTGAGAAGGAGTGGGCAGCCAAACACCGCAGGTACTGATGTTCTGCAGCGCCCAAAGTCCAGAAAATGGCAGCTCCTGTCAGGGTGGACTGCACACTTATGACCCCTGATCCAGGGCTGGGGCCCTCTGTCCTCGTGCAAAGGGCACTGCCTGGCACCTTTCCCAGGTCTGTCGAGAGGACCGGCTGGCTTCCCTGACACTTGCAACCAAAAGCCCCGCGCGACCAAGGGGAGCCCGCCAGTGGGAAGGCAGGACAGGCCCGAGATCGAGGAGCCCAGAGCGGATGCTGCTGGGCGCATGCGCAAGCGCCGGCAGGAGCGTTGGGCCCCGCCCCATTCCCCGCCCCAGCGGCGTGGCCCCGCCCCCCCGGGTTGCTAGGGGAAGTGACGTCACAGCGCGATGGCGGCGGCTCCTTTAGGCAGCTGAAGGGGGACTTAGGCCCGGAAGATCCGAGTCCATCCGCGGCGGGGAGAAGGCAAGCGGGGCCGGCAGGGGCCGGAGCAGCGGCGGCGGCGCTCGGACTGTCCCATCCGCCCCGTATTGAGGCGCTGGGAGCGGCGGGGCGGCCGGAAAGCGATGGTGAAAGCGGGGCCGTGAGGGGGGCGGAGCCGGACCGGACCCGCAGTAGCGGCAGCAGCGGCACCGCCTCCCGGAGCGCAGACCCAGGAAGCGGCCGGGCGGGCAGGAGCGAGCCGTATCGCCGTCATGGAGTTGAGAGTCGGGAACAGGTACCGGCTGGGCCGCAAGATCGGCAGCGGCTCCTTCGGAGACATCTATCTCGGTGAGACCCGCCGCGGGAGGGTGCGGGGCCGCGGGCGGGGTCGCGGGGGGCCGGGCCTGCGCCCAACGGCCACGGGCGAGCGGGCTGGGCTGCGGGGCCGGTGGGCCCGGGAGGGAGGCAGGGGCCCGCCCGCGGGCCTGGGGCTGAGTCTGTGGGGGAGAGGCTGGGGGCTTTGGGCCTGGGGTTGAGTGCAGGGGACAGGCAGGCGCTTGGAGCCGGGGCCGGGGCCGGGGCCGGGGCAGGGGGTGGGTGGGCGGGCCCCGGAGAGGCAGGGGCTTGAGGCTGGGACTGGGACTGGGACTGCGGGGCCGCCGGGCCCCAGAGAGAGGCAGGGGTTGAGGACAAGCCTGGGGCTGGGGCTGGGTGGGCCCCGGGCCTGGAGGCCAAGTCTGCAGGGCAGGGGCAGGGACGGGGACGGGGGCCGCGGGGTCGGTGGTCCTGGGTTTGGGGCTGCGCGGGGGCCGGGTGGAGGCAGGGGCCTGGGGGTGGGGCCCGGAGGGGCAGGGCCTGGGCTGCCGGGCGGGGCCTTGGCTCCCTACCCCCATCTAAGGTCACAGCAGTAAACAAAGGCCACGCGCGGCTCCACCGCGGGTCTTGCGCTGGCTGTCTCCACCCACTCACTTGCAGGCTGACCCCGCGTCTTGCACTTCGGGGGGGGGGGGAATGTCAAAACAACCCAAGTGCAGTGTGGAGGTGGGGAGTGGCCCAGTCAAATGGGGAAATCCTGGGCTGGTTCTGAAGGCTCCTTGTTGCTGTCTGATCTTGCCTTTTCCAAAAGTAGCAGCTTCAGGTAACTAACCCACTGGAGGGGCCCCATGTCTCTTCAAGTTACCACCTTAGTCATAAACAGACTGAAAATGTTCCCCTTGAGCTAGGACTTTGGCTGGCCCTGGTCAGAGCCCCTCCACCTTAGAGTGGTCATTGAGTACATTATAAGCATCTGCATTGAATACTTAATACCTGGAAATAAAAAATAACTAAATTTAGCTGATTTCAGACAAAGATAAGATGTTGGCAGAAGTGGAGGCTAGGAGAGTGGTAGGAAAGTTCTCATGAGTTGTACTTTGGACTTAAAGTTCTCAAGGTAGACTTGAAAAAACACTTGGGTGGGGATGTCCTGAGTTGTGTTAGTAAAAGGATGTATGTGTGTATACACGGGTAATAAAAGGTTGGCTTAAAGCTTCTAGTTGGGAATTTGAAATAGAATTAACTTTTCTAAACTTAAAATTCCATTAATTTTCTCAGTGGAATTGTGTACAAATTCTTCCAAACCCCTGAACTTGAGAGTGTGTGGCCTAACAGTGATGGGTCTGCAGAGTGACTGCTGCCTGAGTTAGGGTAAAGTTATGATGTTGAGCAGCCCTGCCTGTCAGGGATGGTTGAGAGTCAGCAGTGCCTTGGGCCTTGCCTTTCAGATTATCCCAAGTTTGAGTGCTTCTCACTCCCACCCTTTCCAGGACCTTGAGGGCTGACAGTGTTAATGAACTGGCCCTGTCCGGTAGTTCGTAACTAGTTTTGGTTCCCAGTTAACCTACAGGGTAACCCCATCACATGCCATTTGATGTTTTTTAATTTGTATTTCTGCTATAATGGCCTGCTGAGAAAAGTATGCTCTAAAGACGTTTGGGTTTCACTATTTAAATATTTATAACTAAGTAGTCAGCCAGATGCCTTCTCGGCAGTGTTTTGGGACTCAGAAGTGCTGGGTAAATGGAAGCGTTTAGCTTATTTATAGAACAATGGATTTTGGCACAGGTTTTAACCTCAGGATCTAGGAGCTGTACTGAAAAGTCAATCTGTTAGGCACCCTTTTGCAGGCACCAAAAAGTAGGTGTTTTGAAATTTTTTGCTTTCTGAGACCTTGCCAAATAACTGTGCTTTCTGAAGATTGACTCTGACAATCAAGTTGTGGTTTGGCTGCCACATGTCATTCAGAGGTGTAAGCATGTTGCATGGAGCATGTAGACTTCACAAGGGTTCTGCTTCCTCAGTGTTGCATCCTTTGGGTACCTTGTGCTGGACACAGTGGGCACTTGACCATTTGGGTCAACCTCTTCGGAGGGATTTGTTTTGTCTCCTCTGTGTGTTTTAAAAGGAACTGGTTTGTCCATCAGGTCATACTCACTTGCATGGGGTTGGGTACCACAAGTCTTTACATTGGCATTGTCTCTTTGCCCACGTTGCTCCCCTTTCAAGCCACCCCACTTAGGAACTGAAGCAAAAATGCTGTACTAACATGAGTATGGAACTGTGGGTCTATGGAAGATGCAGAGTCTGAAGACCATGGGATGGGTGGACTAATCTGCCATTTTTCTGCAACCATTCCTTATCTTGTGACTTAAAGTTTATGTGTGAGTTCTGGTGTGAGTATGATTAAAACCATTCCTAACTGTGGCAACTCTGATGTTTTCTCAGAAAGCACTTCACTCCTCCAGTGGGGCTCATCTTCCTTTGAGCCTGACACTGTAGTTTTGGATTTCAACCCAGGACTTTTCTGTATTTCCAGGTATTTGAGACTGGGAGGAAGGGAAGGCTATCCTTGAGTTTATGGCAGTGCCCCTAGTTGGCCTGTACCCTCTGACCTCCTGCTGTGCAGTAGCCAGGAGAAAGGGCTGTAGTGCCACCATGTTGTGCACATCTTTCCCAAAATTGTCCCTTCAGAGAGGGCAGCATGTAGAGCTGTTTCTTGAATGTCCAAGTTTCAGAAAGCGTGTGTACTGGACTTGAGCTACCATGGGAGCCAGAAAAATCCAGTCTCCTTCCTCAGTCCAAGCCAACCCCGTGTGGAAGGCTCTTTAGGGGGCAGATTGGAACAGTATCACAGCCCACAGGCCTGTGGAGAGCACATGTGGGCAGGATGTCATGTGCCGGTATTGCAGGTAGGTTTAAGGCAGTCTCAGCCCAGTGTCCTTCCCAGTGTCAGCCCATCACTGGAGGTGGTGTTTTTTGTTTGTTTGTTTTGTTTTTTTGATGCAAAGGAAACCAGAAATTCTTCTATTTTGGGTGGCAGTGTGCCTCTTAGAAACTTGATAACATCTGAAAATGGAGCCAGTGCTCTTGTTGTGGACCATGTGTTCCCAGTCCAATGTGGTGGTATCAGGGAAGAAAAGCCTGTGGCATGGGCCAGGCTGAAGGCCAGTTTGTCTGATGGTGTCATGGTAAATGGAGCGTCACTGTGTTAGCCATTGTGGATAGAGTGCCTGCAAGGTGCCATGTGGTCTAGGTTTGGTCTCATCATTTATTTTCTAGAAGCAAGCGGTATGGTCAAGGACCCAGCTAGGAGAATGGAGTTTGTTCTTGACTACTGTTTCACCATCACTCCTTCAGTTTCTGGGAGTCTCGTCTGTCCGTCCATCTCTTACCTGGATGGACTGTGCATCATACTACGTGATGTCCCATATTTGGGGAACTAAACTTTAGTAACCTGTTCATCTCTGGTTTTCACGTTTCCCCGTCACTACCCTGATGTCTCTGGCGAGTGACCCCACTGCTGGCTGACCATGAGAATAGAGCAGTCACTGCCTCTTACTGGGACTCCATTTACCTTGGAATTTGGAATTACATGAGCATCTCAGTGAGAAGTCATGATATTCTTCCACACCACCTTGTCAGTTTCCCTGAGAGATGACTTTGACCTGTTGTTCTAAGGTGGTTCCCTATTTTCTATTGATAACCCTGGGTGGGAATTAACAACAGCCACGCTGGTAATTTAGCATGACTCTTTCCTATTCCAGGACAGAGTCATGCTCTGGGTTATGTTTATGTAATTCACTATTTGTTATTTCTTTAAAAAAAAAAAAGTATTTATTTTTTAGTTGTAGTTGGACACAATGCCTTTATTTATTTAATTTTTTTAATGTGGTGCTGAGGATGGAACCCAGCGCCTTGCATGTGCTAGGTAAGCGTTCTACCAACTGAGCCACAACACCAGTACTCACTACTTGTTATTATCTGCTCAACTCAATGTCCTATGTCTAAACACAGACCAACATTTATGCTGAGTGAGGGAGCCCTGTCTTAACAGAAGACCAGAATCATTGAGGTGTACAAAAAAGGGTTTGATTAATGTCCTCAAATATACAACCTGAATAAACATCTGCTGGTTACCTGATTTTGTCTTGTTCTGAATCATAGCTCTTAAATGCCTTTGTTACTTCTTAGAGTATTTCTCAGGCATACTTGTAATAAAGGAACAGGTTTTATAATTTCCACTTTTGTAAAATAAGATAGACATGTTGCAACAATGCCAAATGGCTATCAGACCTTGTCAGTGCTTCCTTATCCTGTGTTTGTCCCCTTGAGGATTAGTAGCAGTGTAGGGAAGCATTGCTGGTGGGGCATGGGGATGCTGCCAGCGAGGGAGGTGGGGCAGGGCTGCAGGGCTGCAGGCTAGTGGGTTTGCATTGGGACCTGCAGGGTGCACAGAAGCCGTCTGCCTGGTCTTTCTTCTTGTTAGGTAATGAAGTCCATGGAGGAAATCCTGGAGGGTGTAAGGGTGTACTACTCTCAAGCATTTGTCTTTTTTTGGTTGATTTTTGCCTTTTTGTTTGTTTATTTATTTAGTGTGTGTGTGTGTGTGTGTGTGTGTACGCGCGCCAGGGATTGAACCCAGGGGTGCTTAACCACTGAGCCATGTCCCTAACCCTTTTAATTTTTTATTTAGAGACAGGGTCTTGCTAAGTTCCTGAAGGCCTCAGTCTCCCAACTAGCATTCCTTTCCAGCTGGTCAGCAGATTCAGGGCAATCTTCCTGTATGGTCCTGCAGAAAAACTGGCTCTGTTTGCTATTATAACACGTGCTCTTGGCTGCATGGCAGGATATAATTCAGGTTATGTTTCAGAGTTGCCAGTGGTCATTTGTTCCCACAACTGTCAGTATTGCAGGAGTGACTGTTAGACATGAGCTTTATCAGCTGCAGAGTAGTAGGTAGAGTCATCCTCCATCTTCGTGAAGATCCTGGTCCTAGGTTCATTGGCCCTAGACTATCAGTGTGGACTTGCCAGCTGGCAAGGAGCGTGGTGTTGTCCCCCAGAGCTGTGCTGCTTCGAGATGCAGGGAGTCGCTGATGTAACTGGTGAGATGAGTCATCATTCCTCCTGGATGGTGAGTTCAGCTCAGAGTCCAGGTCCTTAGGGGAACTCGGAGGTCATTTTTCATCCGCATGGCATGTTTTAGATGAAGTCATTTCTTTTGCGATTGGATAGATTGTCCCAGCTGTAGGCAGGAAGAATGAGCTGTGTTACCATCTTGTGATTGCCCCCAAAGTGTCTATTGAATGGTATGTGAAGTTAGATCTGGAGTGGTCACTGGTAATGATCAGGTGCTATTAGTTCTGCAGATCTTCAGTGTTGCCCAGGGCTTTGGTAGGCTTGCTGGGAGTGCTGCATCTTGTGCAGAACTCTGAGCCACCAGAGTGACTGGTTCTTGGGGGCTCACTGGATAGCAGTCATGTTGTCCTCATGCTTGTTGGCCTTGATCTGCTATTCCTCTGGGACTCAAGCACTGTGTAACCATAAGCCCCTTCATATCCCCAGCTCCCTGTGAAACAGTCTGCAGAGTCCCCTCAACCCATCTCAACTGAGAAGCTGAGTTGCTTAGGGCTGGCCAGACTGCTCTGCCTCCACTGCAGTCTGTCTAGTACGGCCTCCAAAGGGGGCTCTCCTAGGAGTCTCAGCTTGTGGGAGCCCTGTTAATCACTTTGCAAATGGCCACATCCCTGGGCAGGATGAAAGTGTTTTGTACTTTTGTCAGGGGTGGGCATGGTATTGGGGATGGAACCCAGGGGAGCTCTACCACTGAACTACATCCCCAGCCCTTTTTTGTTTGTTTATTTTGAGTCAGGGTCTTTCTGAATTGTCCAGGCTGACCTTAGTCTTATGACCTTCCTGCCTCAGCCTCCTGAGTAGCTAGTACTTCCTATTTAGAAGGACCCTTTGAGGGGAGAGGAGGGCCAGGTGTGCCATCGCAGAAGACCTTGTTTCCGTTTTCAGAGCGCTTCGCTGCATCGTGTGATGAAAACGGGTCAGGAGTTGTCAAGTAGGGCTTCAGGTCAGGCATGGACTCGGGAACACTTTTGTGAGCCTGGAGGAAAGGTGGTTGCCAGCTCTGCAGGTCCTTATTGGAGAAAAGCAGAGGCATGACATCCCTACATAAAAACTCTAAACTGGGCTGAGGTTGTGGCTCAGTGGTAGAGCACTTGCCTGGCATGTGTGAGGCACTGGGTTTGGTTCTTAGCACTGCATATAATAAATAAAAATTAAAAGGTCCATTGATGACTAAAAAAATATTTTAAAGAATGAAATAAAAATAAAAAACTCTAAACTCATAGAGTAGTTTATTACAGTATTAGTCACAAACTGACAAAAGTTGTGTGCCCAGTATGTGTTCCATAGGTGGTACCAGTGGAGCCCTGGGAAGGGTCCTTTTTTCTGATCTAACGTCCCCTGGAAGGGAGTGAGGGAATCCTTTGGCTTAATTGAGAGTCTGTGGCTGGAAATGGCTTCTGCAGCTACGTAGGCACTGGGCCTACTTGAAACTGCCTACTTGAAATTGCCTGACTGCTGAGGGTTGTGATGAGTGGATGCTATGCCTGTCTGGACTGAGGCTGTGGAGGTTTGGCATTTAAACCCCCTCCCTCATTCTAGAGGGAGACTCAAGCACACTCCCAAAGGCTTATTAAGGCAGCATGGAGAAATATCATGGCACTTTCCAGTGGCATGCTCTGGGCAAGTGAATGCAGAGGCCAGTGGACAGGGCTGAAAGGAAGGTGGAGACCAGAAAGGAAGGCCCTTTGGCTGTGGCGACCCTGGCATGGGTACAGATGTAAGCAGGTGGTAGAATTCCAAATGAACTTTCCTATGCATGTCAGACAATTGTTAGATGGTTGTCAACTGTTGCTACCATCTTCGAAAATGGAGAGCATCCATCATTTGGTTTATCTCAGAAAATTAAAAGCTACCAGCATTTCTGCAGTGAACTGTGATGTTGGGTCATTTGGTAGACATCGGATGATTAATGTGTATGGTTTTCTTTCTTTGCCAAGGTACGGATATTGCTGCAGGAGAAGAGGTTGCCATCAAGCTTGAATGTGTCAAAACCAAACACCCTCAGCTCCACATTGAGAGCAAAATCTACAAAATGATGCAAGGAGGAGGTATGTCCTTTACCTGTTGAAGAAAGAAGCCAAGGTTTTATCCAATAAGAGAGAGGATGTGTCTCAAGCCAGTCTCTGGTTTATTTTGGGAAAGTAGGGAAAGGTGTCTGTCCATACCCTTGGCCAAGTCGTTTGTGGCTTCTTCCTTGAAGAGACTGGCTCAGCCACATAAGACGTCACTCAACAAAGAGAAATAGTTGTATACTTTTCTGCTTACATACCACTTTTCTTAGCTTCTGCTAGGTTACACTGTCCTTGAAATGTAGGATTTGTGTGAATTTTAAAATGCATGGTGTCTGTTGATGGTGGCAGGTGTCACCAGTGACATTGCATATTGTACTATGGCCCCTGTGGGTCACATATTGTGTTTACAGCTTTGGGGGTCCCTTCAGACTCTCTGGCTTCAGTTTTCTCTTGAATACAATAAAAGTTTTCAACTCAGCAACTTTTGTGACACTTTCCAGGTCAGTCCCTGTTCCAGTTCTGTGGAACCTTGCCCCAGGACCTTGGGGTGCCTGAATCCAGTAGGTGTACCAGATCTGGAACCAGAGCGTATCCATCTTGATCTCAAAAGTGTTGCTTTTAGAATTTTCTGGACTTAAAATATAGTTTTAGTGGAGCAGAAGAGAATTTTTATTGGGGAATTCAAAGCCATGGAAACAGCAACATTGTGAAGGGTGGGGCTCACCAACATGTTCATCTGAGGGTCTGGTCTTGGCCTGAGTGAGGAACCCATTTGGGAGCAGTGTTTGTATCTGAGGGATGGCTGCACTTTGCTAGAAGTAGCCTTCAGTACTGTTAATAGTTGGAGGGTAGAGGGAGTCCCCCTCATTTGTCCACATTGTCTTCATTGACCAAAAGGGCTGGTAGGAGAAGGGGGATGTTGAGGGGATCTTTGAGGCTTGAGGTCTTCCCACCACAAAAGCAGCATTTTTGTAACAAAGTGTCTTTGGCTGCAGATACATGTCAAAATAGCATACCTGTACCTGTTTCTGTGGTTCATCTTAGTGATGTCCAGAGCACCGTGTCCTGGGCTTTGTGACCAGAGGAGGCTACAGTGATGAAAACTCTGGTGTCATTCCTCCTCCACTGTTGTCCCAAGGAGAGGTCGCCAGAGACTTCTCTGAGGGACCTTCTGTAGAGGATCAGCTTCTCTGGGGCGTAGAGATTATAATGCAGCTTTTAGGTTGTGACGAGTAGGGTAGAACAAGGTGACACTGGGTCTGACCTTTTCTGGGGGTTACATAAAACCTACAAGCTTAAAAAAAGCATTAAGGAGTGATTCTTCATGAGAACATGCAAACTGGGGAGCCTGCGAGGGGAGAGGGAGGAACTGTCCCTCACGAGCCTGGAACGGCACTGGTGCAGACATCTGGCAGTGGCCACAGAGGAACCTATCCCACCCAGCAGGTCTCAGATCCAGCACCATCGCTGCTCCCTGTGCATGCTCTTCTCTGCCAGTTGCTTCTCTCCTCCTCAGTTGTGGAGAGCTGTCTGCAGATCATGCCAGGTGCCCCTGGTGGGCAGTATTGCCTCCTGCTTTGAACTTAATGTAGAGTGGGAGGAATCACTTGCTCCCTTGTTTTTGCCCACATCGCTTTTCCAGGATTCTGGAATCCAGACATGATTCCAAAAAAAATGGGCTTTCTTCCATTTGGGCCTTTGATTGCCATTCCCCAGACGTGGGTTAGGTTTTACTATTGGATAAACCAGGGTTTTGAACCCTGTTGCGTGTTTGGTAGATACCTTGAAGGTTTGCTCTAGAAAACACATAATGTTGCACCTGGCCATCACAGTGCACTCCTGTAATCCCAGTTACTTGGGAGGCTGAAGCAAGAGGATCACAAGTTGGAGGCCAGCCTGGCCTACTTAGCAAGATTTTTGTTTTAAAAAACAAAAAGGGTTGAGGGTGCAGCTCAGTGGTAGAGTGCTTGCCTGGCGTTCACAGAGCCCAGGTTCTAGTACCACAAAAGGGGAAGAAGAGCATGCTGTGTTCAGCAGTTCCTGTTGGATGAATTCTAGCCAGGACCACACCAGAATCAGCAGGTACAGGATGAAGGCACCTGCTCTGCTTGGAAATCACTGTGCTTTGCTGCACTCCAGCCTCTTGCAGCATGTCCTCTGCATAGGTGGTTGTGAGTTATTCTTCAGGAAGAGACAACAATTAACTCTGACAGTGCTTGTTCTGACCTTGCTTAATGTGGGTCATCTCAGGATGTGCTGGAAGAGAAAGTCAGGGCAGAGTGGATGTGATTGTTCTCTGACTTACAATACATTCATCTGGGAAACTTGTAAGGCTGGTGGTGCCACAGTGCCTGACCAGAGAGCTACTGCACTCAGGTGGTCACGCTGCTTCAGGGAGACACGTTGTCCTCATTGTCAGGGTGTTTCTGTATAGTATGTACTGACTCCTCAACCACATGCTGCAAGTGAGGTACAGGAGACTTCCTGGTGTTCCAGGGACACAGGCAGGAACTTGAGTATTCTGCCCTGCAGCACTGAGCATCATTACGAGCCCAGAGAGTTCCATCTGTTCACAATCTGGTTGGGACAATAGGTCGAAAACAGTGGTGCACACACATAATCTCAGTGGCTTGGGAGGCTGAGGCAGGAGGATCACAAGTTCAAGGCCAATCTTGGCAACTTAGTGAGGCCCTAGGCAACTTAGTGAAACTTGTCTCAAATTTTAAAAGGGTGGTGCTGGGGAGATGATTCTGTGGTCAAGCACCCTAGGTTAAATCTCCAGTACCAAAGGCGGGGGGGCGGGGAGAAAACTTGAGCAGAAATAAATTAAAATTAACCATGTTGGTGAAAGAGTGGGACAGACAGCCAGTGTTTACCGACACTAAGTGACTGCCAGATAGACCTAGAGACCAAAGTCACTGCTCTTTTCCAACCCTAATGTGCCCAGGAGTAGCTTTAGAATGCTCTTCTTAGTAAGCCCCCCAGCAGAGAACATTTTACTGGGTTCAGAGCTGTTTCTGGTCCAGGTTGAAAGTGGCTGGTGTGGTCTGGGGCAGGGAGAGTGGGGTATCTGTAGGCAGGGGTGCACACACCATGATCCTTCTGTCACGAGGTGTGGGGAACTGTAGGCGTATGTGTCAAGAAAGGTGTGGTGGATGATAGAGTGGACGCTTGTGCCACTCACCCCAGCAGGGAATTGGGCTCCCTGCTGGAGCATGGGCCCCTGCCCTGCACGAGTTTGTCTCCACAGGCACTTGCCCCTTGGTGTTTCCAGGGTTTTTGGTTTTTGTTTTCCAGTGTGGGACATCAAATCCAGAGCTAGTGAACACTAGGCAAGTCCTCTGCCACTGTGCTGCACGCCAGCCCTGCTCTGTTTTTGTTTCTGTCATCCCACAAGACATTAATGTTTTTAAAAATTTAACTAATGATATGTCAGGAAACATTTGGCAGGTGTTTTGTTTGTTAAATTGGGGTCTTGCAGTTTTGCCCAGTGTGGCCTTGAACTTGAGATCCTCCAACTTCAGCCTCCGGAGATCTGGGATTGCAGGCATGCACCAATGTTCCCAGCTGCCATTTTTATTTTAGTCATCTTTTTTTTTTTTTTTTTTTTAATATTATTTTAGATGTTGATGGACCTTTATTTTATTTACTTATTTATATGGGTGCTGAGAATCAAACCCAGTGCCTCACACTTAAGTACTCTACCACTGATCCACAACTCCAGCCCTATTTTTAGTCATCTTAAAATTGCTGAAAAATTCATGAAGACTTTTATTTGTATTAATGCTGAGTCCCCACATTTGTAGTGTATCTTCTTGCAAATCATAAGGAAGGTATGTGCCAGTATCTGACCCTGTCCCCTGGTTTTCATCCCAAACATTTGTCTGGTTCTTAGGCCCCATAAGGGGAAGCATCTGGGTTCACAGCTGTAAGTGGCAACAGCAGTAGCCGGTGTCCACCTTGTGGTGCTTGGGTCTCTGCTGGCCTCAGTTGTTTCCACAGAAACACCAGAATTGGTACTTTTCAGGCACAGATCCATTTTAGGTTCTGGATTTTGCTGATGTGAAATGCCTGCTTTCAGAGTCCTGTTTATTAGCCTGTGACCAGAAGGTTCTTCACCTTGCATCAGCAGGAATGTCCTCTTGAGTGTTTCTGTGGCCACTGGCAGCTGTGAGTGAAGCATGCCACAAAGCTTCATCTTTTCTGGCCAGGGATCCCTGAGAGCAGGAGCCCTTTGGTGGTAACTGTATTTTATTCTGTTTTTAATGCCACAGGTGGTAACAATGTTACCACTGTGTTAGTGCTGCCCTCATCCTGGAAGGAAAGGGCACTGGATTGGGTGCACCCAAGAGTTTGGTGAGTCTGTGCCACTTGTGTATCCAGATAGACATAGCTCTGAATGTTGTATAGTACAATTATATTCTGTAACTTTTTTTGACCTAATACATTGCTGAAAACTGCTATTATTTATAGACAATAAAATTTTTACTTGGTGAACCTAAAAAGAGATAAGTTTAGTTTAGCTGAAGAGCAAAATATGGTCATTTCATTTCATTACACCAACAATAATCAGTTAACAAAATGTAGTTTTAAAAATGCGTTTAAAGTAGCAAAAAAAGAAACCCATACAAAAGCTATCTGGAAAGGAATACTTTGAAATGTCAGTTTTCTGAGTTGCTCTTAAATTCAGTGAAATTTTCATCAAAATCCAGCAGCTTTTCTTACTTGACAAGATGAGTCTAGAATTGAGGGAGAAGAGGGAAGGGGCAAGGTGAATTCCATACTCCAAGTAGTGCAGCTTGCTGTGGAGTCTTTTGATCAGAACTGTCTTGCTGTGGCTCTAGATGGAACCTAGGAGCAGTGACACACCTGGCCCTTGCATGGTTCCCACTGAGAGGAGCCCAAACTGCTTGGAGAAATGGCCAGGTCTAGAGAAGGGCAGGAAGAGCTACAGTGAGCCCAGAACATGGCGCCGAAGGAAAAAGGTGCCCACTCAGCAGGTGGGCCTACGTGTCCACGGATCTGGGAACAGGGAACACGGTTGAAAGCTGCCTGCGGGCCTGCGTGGAACTGGTTCACAGTGACCACTGGTGTTTCAAGGTCACTTGCTGTTCTCAGAATCTTGAGATTTTACAAGTAAACTGGATTGTCAGAGTTAGTGTGTGTCTTATGTGTGTCTTTGCTATTTGAATACTTGGTCTGATTCACACACTGGTGATCAGGGTGCTGCAGATTTTCAGAGTGCTTTGCATTCGTGAGTCAACTCTTTGAGTGACTTCTGCAGTAGAGGGTTACCCATGATCCCAGGTAGGCTTATTCTTATCTTTCAATTTTTCTCAAATGGCCAATTTGATTCAGATAAAATAAATGAGTGATGACAAGGGTGGGCTGTCGGTGGCTGCTGGGTTCCCCTTGTGAAGGTCCGGACCTGGCGCCTGGCTTTTCCTCCTCTGCAGAAAAGACTTCCCTCCTCGCTGGTGGTGCGGGGCTGCTGGGGCTGCAGTGTTACCCACAGATCGTGCAGTGTGCCTAGCGTGGTTCTGTGCTTCTGCTTCACAGAACTGGATTCTGTCCTCTTCCCTTTCTCCCTTCTCGGGCTCCAGTTCCATCCGCGGCTTGGGGTTGCCCCACAGCTCCCAGGGGCTCTTGCTGGCCTTCTCTGAGTTTCAGTGCTGGCTGTTGTGGGTGAGTCTGTGGTGTCCGATTCCTTATTCCGCTTGGTGTGTTTTTTCGCTCCAGACGCTGTAGTTCTCAGCCCTAGACATTAGATTTGGGTCTTTATATCTCCGTGTCTTTAACTTCCTTGTCAGTTTTACCTCATTATAACTTAGATCTTGTGCCATTCTTGGCTGATTCCAGCAGCTGGGTCAGTTTCTGGGCCTGACCTCACTGGGTGGTTTTCTGCCTTAAAACCTCCTCGTGTGCCTGGTGGCCTTCAGATGCCAGGCAATGGTAATTCCACCCTCTTGTGGGCCGTGCATTTTCACGTTGCTCACCTTTTTTTTTTCAGTTGTGTTCTGGAATGAAGTTCAGTTACATGGGTCTTTTTGGTTCTTGCTTTTATGGTCACACTCAGAAACCGGGGTGCAGGTGCGAAGTTATGTTTGTTGTCTGCCTGAGACTGTGATTGTCTTAGAAACTTTCTTCCATGTTTTGTGTGGTTTGGGGGTTTTCCTTGGATATTGTAAGTGTGAGGATGTTTGGGTTCCTCTTACTCCATCTCTGGTAGAAGTATAATTAATGACTTCTACATTTTTATAAGAAAATAATAGATTTCTTTCTGACTGTGAGGTAAGAAACGATTTCTTAATATAAAATATTTAAAACGTTACTTATCAAGGAAAAAGCTAACGACCTTTTTTTTTTCTTTTGGCACTGGGGATTGATACCAGGGGCACTACTGAACCACATCCCCAGCATTTTTACTGTGAAATGGGATCTTGCTAAGTTGCTGAGTCTGGCATTAGACTTGCAGTCCTCCTGCTTCAGCCTTCCAGGTTGCTGGGATACAGGTGTGTGTCACCTTGCCCACCTTGAAATGATTTTTGATGAGTGGATTTTCCTGCTGGCATCAACGCGTACTATAAGGCTGAGTCTTGTTATGGAAGGGCCAAGAGGCTTGTGACCTGCACCCAGGACAGTAGTCGGGATATATGTGAGGAGGGTCTCATGGGAGTTTGCTGTGGGGCAAGCAGAGAACCAGGCAGTGTGCTCTGGAGGTCCTGTGAGCATGTGCCTGCTCCTGTAGCACTCAGGTCCTGACCTGGAGGCTCCCATCAGCTCATGCTCTCAGCTTCACTGTGTGACTTCCTGTAGCTGGTGGCTGTGTGTGGGCTCTGGTGCCAGTTTTTCAGGAGTGGGTCACACTAATTCATGTCTTCAGATCTGCCCTTCCCTCCTGTGGCGTTCTGGGTCAGTTGTTTCTGTTAGGTTTATCCTGTGTTCTTTATTCTCTCTTCCACTGAATTGTCTATTAAAAATCTGGGTTATTTGTAACCCCAAGAGTTTCCACTGCTCTTGCTTTTCTCATCAACATCAGAAGTGAATAACAAGAATGTCTTCTCTCCTGCCAGCCTACAGCAGCTCCTCTCTCTTTTGTTTCTTGATCTGGCATTGCACATCTCTCTGAGGCTGTGGTTTCTCTCCAGTAGGCCCTGCTGGCCGGTCTGCACACACTGCTGTCTTGCTCTTCTTGCCTTCTCTTTCCTGGGCTTTGCACTCCCCACCCTTGGAGGCCAGCGGTGTGAAGTCAGCATAGGTGCATCTCATTTCCCATCACTGACTGCTCTAACCCTCAGCAGAGGCTGTTCTGTGTTGTTTTTAGCATTTGTGGCTTAATCTTAGCTTTAGGTCCTTGAGGACGGGTTTTTCCAGGGTCTTCTGACCCCCCAACGCTAGCCCGCCCGCACCTCTGATGCCTGTCAGTTGAGTAGAGGCTAGTTGGTGCTGTGACCTAGGCTCAAGTGCTCTGTTTGGCTTCTCTTCCAGTGGGCATCCCTACCATCAGATGGTGTGGGGCCGAGGGGGACTACAACGTCATGGTGATGGAGCTGCTGGGGCCCAGCCTGGAGGACCTCTTCAACTTCTGCTCCAGGAAGTTCAGTCTCAAAACTGTTCTGCTGCTTGCTGACCAAATGGTAAGCTTTCCTATCTCTGATGCCCAAACACTGTGGACACTTGGTAGACACTTATTGCCTGATGGGGTATGTTACTTCACTGCTGTTGTTCCATTATTAGGCATGTTAGACAGGAATTTGTTCAGGCTTCCTTGGCCTCAGATAATGACACGGGTGATTGGATTGGAGAGAGGACCCCCACCTCCCTGAGTATGTGGTTGCGTTGAATGGGCTTCCCAAGTTCTCTCAGGATCACACAGTTGATTCCCAGCAATTCTGGTGTGGTTTCTGAGGGGATTCTTGTGTGTGGCCTGTGCAGAGTCTCGCTGGTGGACACTGTTGCCTAACAGAGTTTTTTGTCTGTCCACCCCTGTAGAGCTAGGGAGAGGAGACACCCAGGCCTGGGGCAGGGGAGCTGGAGCTGCCTGGGGATGCAGCTGGTCAGTTTCCAGTCCACCTTCCTGGTGGTGTGTTCACTCTGCTCTGGCTGAGGAAGAGAGAGCATGTGCCTCTCTTGAGGCTGGTGCTCTGAGAGGTCTTGAATTGCTTCTTGCATTGATTCTCCCCTTGTAGATTAGTCGTATTGAGTACATTCATTCAAAGAACTTCATCCATCGAGATGTGAAGCCAGATAACTTCCTCATGGGCCTGGGGAAAAAGGGCAACCTGGTCTACATCATCGACTTTGGGCTGGCCAAGAAGTACCGGGATGCGAGGACCCACCAGCACATTCCGTACCGAGAGAACAAGAACCTCACTGGGACGGCGCGGTACGCCTCCATCAACACACACCTCGGAATCGGTGAGCCTAGGTCGTGGTGCCACTGGGCATATCTGTCCCTCAGCTTTGGGAAAGGCCAGCTTCTCAGGTGACCTTGGGGTTGTGGACATGTACAGTGCTCAGAACCCAGAGGTCTGGAGGCTGTTGTCCAACCATCATAGCAGACAGGCTAGCTTCAGGACTGCTGGAGCCACTGATGATACTCAGCTGGAGTGTTTGGGGATTTCCTTAATAGCATGCAAGGGACACTTCTGGTAAAGAAGCCATTCACGTTCATTTTTCTGTTATTTTAAATGTTTTTATGTGTGTATGCGCACACTTTTTTTTTTTTTTTTTCTTTTGTGATACTGGGAATTTTGGACCCCAGGGTGTTCTACCAGTAAGCTACAACCCCCCTCCCCATCCCTTTTGTTTTTGATTTCAAGACAGGATCTCTCACTAGGTTGTTAAGGCTAGCCTTGGACTTGGGATCATTCTGCCTTAGCCTCCCGAGTTGCTGGAGTTACACTGCCACACCACCACATCTGGCTATTTTTAAAGTTGGCTTCTATGGTCATGCTTGCTTAATCTTTTGCTTTTATGTGTGCACACATGTACTGCCCTTCACACTTTCCCCTTTTCTTTCCAGAGCAATCTCGAAGGGACGACCTGGAGTCTCTGGGGTACGTGCTGATGTACTTCAACCTGGGCTCTCTCCCCTGGCAGGGGCTGAAGGCCGCCACCAAGAGGCAGAAGTATGAGAGGATCAGTGAGAAGAAGATGTCTACTCCCATCGAAGTACTGTGCAAAGGCTATCCCTGTGAGTCCCTTGCCGTCCTCCCTCGTACCAGCCACGGCCTGTTCCTGTGTGGGCTGGTGCTTGTGCCCAGGGCAACTGCAGAGTCACTCTGCCTACATCTTCTACAAGAAGGGTGGCAAGAAAGGGGTGTTTCTGTGTTATGGTAACAGGCAGCCCTCCCCTGCTGATGCATTTTTGTGAGCCTTTCTATGAGGCTCGGGAGAGACAGGACCCAGCCTCAGAAAACTGCCTGTGCACTTAGGAAGGGGAGGGACACAGTGATCATTCTGCCCTTTAAACTGACTGCAGTCAGCTGCCCCTACTCTACTTCAGCATCCCCAGATAACCCAGAGGTGCTGTCTGTGTTTTGTGACTGCCCCTAAGATAAATTAACTAGATAAAAGCTAAATTTTGTCCTGTGGTGGTGATTTTTTGTTTTCTTTTTTGGTGTTCTTTGGGGATGGGCTAAAATCCAGGGATTTCTTGTTCTTTCAAGAGAATAAGAACCTAGTGGAAACGGCTTGATACAGCTCCATCAATATACATCTGGACTTGGGATTCACCAATTAGTGATGGCACTTAACCTAGCTCCGTCCCTAGCCCCTGCTGGCTCCCAGCAGCTCCTCCTCAGCATGACTGTGAAATCCTCCTCTGATTTCACCTGCATGCCTCCAGTGTGAAGAACCAGGGTGGTGCGCAGGGGTTGATAACCCGGCTCTGGGTTGTATTCGGCCTCCGTCATTAGCCTCGGGTCTTTCCTTGTTTTACAGCCGAGTTTGCCACGTACCTGAACTTTTGCCGCTCCTTGCGCTTTGATGACAAGCCCGACTACTCCTACCTGAGGCAGCTCTTCAGAAACTTGTTCCACCGCCAGGGCTTCTCCTACGACTATGTGTTCGACTGGAACATGCTCAAGTTTGTAAGTGGCATTGCCCACTCAGTCCTGTCTCCTCCTGGGACAGGCAAGTCCAGCCCTGGGTAGGTCAGAGCTGCACCTCCTAGTTTTGCGTGCAGATCTGTGCTGTGTGGGATTCAGGTGTCAAAGTCACTGGCTGAGGTGTGAAAGCTGAGCACACCTGGTACAACTTTGGTCTTCTCTGGGCATCTACCTGCAGGCTCAGGATTCTAAGAAGCAAGCTGCCATCAGGGCAAGCAAAGGGGCCTGTGGAGACTGCTGGTGTAGGTAGTATATGCCCTGGAGTGAGCCCATGGTGCAGATCTGCCCAGAGAAGAGCACCCAGGTTGGAACAGGGCACTCTTCCTATCACTGAGCCACATCCCTAGCCCTCTTTATTTTTCATTTTGAGACTCGGTCTCTAAGTTGCCCAGGCTGGCCTTCAACTCATGATCCTCTTGCTTCAGCCTCCCAAGTCTCTGGGATTACAGACATGCACCGCTGTACCCATCTTGCCATCATCAATTCGGAGAACCTGGGGGCTAGCCCCCTGTAGGGATGTAGCCTGGTACCTACCAGCACACTGCTAGAAAGCATGGCAGTCTCTCCAGGCTGCCCCCGTCTCTCAGTTCATCTGAGGCCAGGTGTACCCAGGAGCCTTAAGAGAGCAGACAGGTGGGCAGCCTAGAGTTCAGTCTGGTTGGGCTCTATAACAGGCTGTTTTACATTTGGTCTCCTCTGACATCCCAGTTGGCTCATCAGAAGTATATAAGAATCCCTGGGTGCAGTAGGGAGGCCCAGGAGCCGCTGGGCCACCCATCCTGGGTTGGCAATGTGAGTTTAATTCACTAACATTAGACACCACTGACAGAATTCAAGTTTCTGGGGAATTTTTGTGTCTTCTTTTATTAAAAATGTATCCTTTGTAGGTGGAAATAGAAATTAAAACCTGATGATCAAATCCAATGGAGGAACAGAGGTGCCTCCTTCTCAGGAGTGCAAAATTAGAAGCCTTGTCTTGTCTAAACCACTATTCCATGAGTCCGGTCTCCCCGAAGGGCGAGGGTGAACCCTGAACTAGAGCCATCTGACCAAGCATGGTGCTGGGAGGAGAGTGCTCTGCAGAGTGGGCTGGCCCAGGCTACAGGACCTGGTGCCTTTGCCGGGTTGAGAGGGCAGTGCTGTGCTGCTTCTGCAGGCTGCTCAGCGCCGAGCACCAGAGCACCCTTCTCCAGTGTGGTTTCTGCACTATCTCGGTCTCACAGCCAGCCAGGCAGAGCTGCTCTGGAAAGGGCCAAGTAACATCACCAGCTTTCCTGGCTATGCAGGGTCACAGTCCCTTAGCTCTGCCATATAGCCACATGGCAGCCATGGGCCACCTGGGAGTGGGTAGGTGTGTCTCTGTCCAGTAATACGGCTGGCACTGGAATTTGGCTCTGGGCTGGTTTGCAGAGTCTGCCTGGTAGCATTGGTGGTGAGGACAGACCATTCAGTAAGCTGGTGCCTCAGCCTAGCTGCTCACAGTCAGATGCCCAGAGCACTGGGGTGGTCCCGCAGGGACCTGAGTGTGCATGGGCAGGTGGGGCTGTCATCACTGACATGACCTTCCCTTTGGTCTGGGATCTGGACTCTGACTGGACCCTTTTGTGACCCATTGCTGCCACCCTGTCCTACCCTGGTCTGGGCAGTCTCCATCGTCCCCCTCGCCCATGCACAATCATGTTCACAGGTAAGGACTCAAAGATAGAAGACAGACCCGGGTCCTTTTGACACAGCAGCAGGAGTTGGGTTTCCTCTAGGAGGCAGGCTCTTGCCACTCAAGGGGATGGTGCTGTCTTCCTCAGGGTGCCAGCCGGGCTGCAGATGATGCTGAACGGGAACGCCGGGACCGAGAGGAGCGATTGAGACACTCCCGGAATCCAGCCACCCGTGGCCTCCCTTCCACAGCCTCTGGCCGCCTGCGGGGGACCCAGGAAGTGGCTCCCCCAACACCCCTGACCCCTACCTCACACACGGGTGAGCACACCTCCCAGCAAGCCCATGGAGTGGACACCAGGTTTCTGTCTATCTTGTGTTTGGTGGCCTTATGGGAGCCCAGGCCAGACATACTTGGTATTGATTGATGCTGCGTTTGCCCCTACTTGAGTCAGTCCTCCTTGGGAGTAGAGAGGCCAGGGCACACAGCCTGTGGGATGTTGGGTTCCCTGAAAGCTCTCCACCAGGGTTGGTGATTTCTCAGATGAAACTTCCTTCCCATACAGAAGTGTCCCCCTCATGAACTTCTCAGTCCCCTGTGTGCAGCGATGTTGGGCTCAGAGTGCTCTGCCAGCCAGTGTTGCTGGGCTGCCTGGATCAATGAGCTGTGAACAGATGTGGGAGAGTCCATCCAGAGCCCTTGTGGTGGTCTTTGGCAGGCCAGTGGGATGTGGGAAGCCACGGGGCCTCAGCAGCCATGTCTCTTTCCCTCTCTAGCCAACACCTCTCCTCGGCCTGTCTCTGGCATGGAACGGGAGCGGAAAGTGAGCATGCGGCTGCACCGTGGGGCCCCAGTCAACGTCTCCTCGTCAGATCTCACGGGCCGACAAGATACCTCTCGCATGTCCACCTCACAGGTATGTGATCAGAGCTGGCCATGGCCTGGCCTTCCAGGCTCACTGTCAAGAGTGGGGTGAGATGTGAAGGGTCTGTTTCCTTCTCACTCCCTGGACCTCCCCACCCACATCTCTGAGTTCACCTGGTGGGCAAAGTATGCTCTTAATTCTTGTTTGCCTTTTGGTTGGAGCCTGTGCTGAGCTACGCTGAGCTGCTGGTGGGCTTGTTTTCCCAGCCACAGCTGTTATCCCAGCAGGGAACTCTGTGGAGCTTCTCCCTTCTGTGATCTCCGGGCGAGGTCCCCACCTCCTTTTCCCCCCAGGCAGAGCTCCACACTGTGCTTACACCTCTGTGAGGGAGTGCTGTGGCACACTACCCTCCGGGCTCCTTCGTCGCCAGGTGCTGGGAGCCTACCCTAACAAAGCGCCTGGGAAGGGGCGGCTCCACAGGAAGGGTCCCTGTGCGGAACCTCATGCCAGTCATCCCTGCAGCTGAGTGCAGGGCCTGTAGGAGCCTCCAAGGGCTCCGACGGTTGCCTTGCGGGGGGATGCGTCATGCCACTAGGGGCCCATCGTTCGCTGGTCGGGTCTGATCCTCTGAGAAGGAAATACTTGGAAATAGGCCTGGGCCCCTGCCAGGCCTCTTCCTCTCATAGCCATTCCTTCCTCACATCCTCCTCTTTCTCTGCCTTTGCAGTCCTTACACACTCTAACGTGCCTCTCTGCACACACCAGAAACTTTACTTAATGTGTCGGTTTCTTTGCTTCATATGAGTTTAGGGTCTGCCACCCATGGGTAGGGTAAGGGGTCAGGGATAAGCTCCAGCAGGGCTGTTGCTCTCTGGATCACCCCAAGGAGTCTTCCCAGGTGAGCAGGGGCTCATCTCAGAAGTGCACTGGCACCAGCCTAGCTCTGTCATGGGGCGGCATCCATCTGGTCTCTAGGAAGGACCTGTGCAGCTTGCTCTGCCCCACTTGGGGAACTGAGCGTGTTGCTGAGCAAATGCAGTGTCCCTGGGCCACCAAAGCTCAGCCTGCGCCAGGGCTGGCCCGGAAGGAGCAGGAAGACTGCAGCAGGCGTGCTGTGAACGAGGGCATACTGAGCATCTCTGACCTGCTGGTGGTCTCCATAGCAGTGGACTTTTGTGTTGTGGATTTCTTGGAGACCAGAGCTGCTTGAACTGCTGTGCTGTGCTTTGTGAGACTGGTCCCTTGGTGGGCAGAGGCAAACACTGCTCCCTCACAGCACCCAGGGATCAACGGGCCTCTTCTATAGGTGTTAGCATCCACAAGGGCCACTGTGAATGCATTCTGGGTAGGCAAAGCGTAAGGAAAGGGCTGGGTTTTTAAGAAAATGAAACATCTGATAGTTGGGGATTTGGTAGTGGAGGGAAACGAATGTCAGAAGGCCCTGCAGGAGCCAAGCAGTCAAGGCTGCAACTCAGCAGCCTCCTCTTAGCACGTGGCCCCAGCCAGTACCAGGGCAGGACTGTCTTTTGCTCGTGGTTACAATAGTGTGTTTCCTTCTGCACTGTGGGCTCAGCATTCTGCCTCTTTGCTTGGCCTCTCATGGTTGTGTGAAGAGGTGTAACATGGGCTTGAACACAGGGAGGCTCCAAGCCATCAAGGAGGGCTCCTCCTTCCATAGAAATAGCTGGGCTTTCCCTCTGGCTACTGAGGTAAAGGTTCTGGAGCCTGCTTGTGTTGAGACTGTCCCCAATGTTTCCATCCCACCCCAGGACTGGCTTTTACCTCACCGACCTTTAGGACAGGTTAGTTGGACTCCAGAGTGCATGTGGCCTTCAGAGCATCTCTTTCCCTCCAGCGTGCCAACACCAGTGTGCTCAGTAACTGCCCCTGTTTTTAATCCAAGGGTTCAAATAAGAGTTCTTCCCTCTACCAGCTGTTTCTAGACCCATAGCCATGTGTTTGGCAGCCGAAAGACTGGGGATTACTCCAGCTTCCACAGTTCTATAGTCACCCCTCGGAGCCCTCTCGAGTGGGGATAAGGTAGGAGGACCCGAGTGTGAGAAGCAGGCCCTCCTGGGAGTGCAGCAAGGTATTGGAAAGGTTCTGTTTCACTCTCTGGTCCTCGCACCCTTGGGTATGTCTGGACAATGCTACAGAAGTCACCCCTGCTGAGGTGTGGCGACTCCACAGTACTATATGCAGGTTGAAGACAGCCTCACTGTCATAGAACCTGTCGCTGCCTTGGCTTGGCTTGAAGGTGACTGCTTCCTCTTGGGCCCTTTGTCTTCTGAAGGGCCACTGTGTTAGCTAGCCTCTGGGGAGCCCAAGAATCCCACATGGCCTGGTCTGCAGGTGTAAGGTGTTCTCATCAACCACAAGAACACGGACCTGCAGAGTGTCTGGCCATTGACCCCTAAGAGGGGCCTTCCTTGTTCAGTACTGTCCATAAAGGTGCCAGTTACTCCTTTTGATGGCTCATTGAATCCACACCCTGCTCCCAAATAAGATTTGCAGCCCAGCCCTGCCATTCCCCTGGATGCTGGCCTCTCAGTGCATGAGCAGTCAGGAGGGTCTGTCACGTGTCCTCATTTCTGGAGAAAGAATGGCCACTCTCATCGGAGGGCCAGCAATGAGAGGGCAGTGAGCCCTGAGCCGCGTGGAGAGATCGACTTTCCCTCCCTGGTTCCTGAGGTGGCACTGTCAGCATCTGTGGACCTGGCCAAGGCAAGGAGGCACGTCCGCACACAGGCCCCACGTGGGCAGTCGGGTCGGGGCCTCGCGTACTGGTCCAGCCAGAGGGACGCTTACCAACAGCTGTCTTTTCCCCCACCTCAGAATAGCATTCCTTTCGAACACCACGGCAAGTAGCTGCTCGTCTCCGCGGAAGGCAGCACTGGGTGAGTGTGCTCATGGTGGGGCTCAGCAGATGGCCAGCGCCAGGCGGGGAGGGAGCCACCACTCCCCACCGCCTTGGGGACTCAGTGGGCTGGGCTTGCATGCCAGGTGCTGGCAGTAGAGTGAGGCTTCTTCTGCTTTGTTCTCCCTGCGTGGGTCCTAGAGCAGCCGTGGTCAGCTGCCCAGTCTGGGGGAAGATCCATCCTTGGTCTCGGACGGAGCAACCCCAGGGGACCATCTGCTGTGGCCTCGCCTTTGGCCTCCCTGTGCTGCAGTTGGGCATGTCTGTCGTGCTCAGCTGAGTGGCGCCACGCTTGGTGTCGGGCTCTTGAGCTCTTGCTGCCTTCAGGCTCCTGGTGGTCTATGCCCATCCCGGCTTTTTCAGTCGTCCCACTTCCTCTCTCATTTATCTCTGTCCTCATTTTGTGTTCTTTCCAAACTTGGTCCCTGCCCAGCCATCCTGTCCACGCAGCTGTCGTCTGTGTTAACCCACCCAGCCACAGCCACCTGCTCCCTACCGTCGGTGCATGGCCGGGCGTCTACGCTGCGCTCCCTTCTTGTCGGCCACATGGCACTTGTGGCTCCTTCCCGCGGGGGCTTGGTTTTCCCAGGGCTCGGAGTGCTGGGGACCCGTGCAGTGTTAACACCATGCACACTCTCGGAGATGCGTCGACAAGACTGCTTTTCCTGTCTTCCCCCAAGTGGGGTGCCTGTTTTTAGAGCAACCGTTTGCTTCTCAGGAGGGGACCCTGGGAGTGGGCATCTCTGCCCAACTTGGATCCTCGCCATCGCTGCTGAGCGCAGCCCTGCGGTCTCCTGGCTTGCACACCTCTTCTTCCTTTCCCTCTTCCTGTCACTTGTTCTGCTCAGCACGTGTTCTGGCCGCAGAGCCCCCTCTGTGCAGCTGGGGCACGGGTGTCTAGACTGGGGCCAGGCAGCAGTGTGTCCCCTCCCCGGGATGCATCGTGTGGTACTTGTGCCTATCACCTTGCTGGCCAGCCCCTCTGGCCTCATGCTGACCTTGTCCTGTGCTTTGGCTCCGACAGATTCCTGGTCGGGTGGCTTCCAGCGGTCTTCAGTCTGTCGTGCACCGATGAGACTCTCCTTTTTGCTGTGAAGGGCAGACAATGCATGGCTGATCTACTCTGTTACCAATGGCTTTACTAGTGACACGCCCCCCGGTCTAGACCCGAAATGTTAACGCCGGGAGCCCTCCAGGCCACTCACCCAGCGACGCTCATGGGGAATCAAAACAAACTAAACGGACAGGCTCTGAGAGCCGCCATCGCCAGGGGCTGCCGGCGTGGCCCCCACGTGAGCCCGGTTTCCACAGGGCTGGGCAGAAGAGCAGAGTGTGGGAGACTCGCATAGAGAACCCAACTCCCTGTCAAGAGCCGCAGCTCCCTCCAGTGGTGGCGAACCTGTGCTCCCTGACGATCCCACTGCAACTACCAGTCTTCTACTTGGTTAAGACAGTTTTGTATCATTTTGCTAAAAATTACTGGCTTAAATCTGTGTAAAGAAATCCGTCTTTTTATTGTTTCTTTCTTGTCTGTTTTGCGGTCTTAAAAAAGATGTTGATTTCAAAGACTCCTGAGACAGACCCTGGCTGGAGCGTCTGTGTGAGATGGAGGCAGAAGAGGGGCGCACGTGAAGGACAAGGATGTGTGTTCTGTTTGTTTGTTTTCTCGTGTTGTGTTGTCCGTTGAGAGAAAATCTCGTCAGAAGTTGTGGTTGTATGCGCCTGTGTGCCTCGGACCCACCAGCCACCCCCCACTGCAGGCTGAGGTGCCTGGTCGAATGCAGGTTAGGCTCAGGCTGCCACGGAGCAAGGGAGTGAGGCCTTGGGGGTCAGAGCTCTGCGGTGCCCAGGCAGAGGCCTGGGGAGTTCCGAGACTCAAAGCTGGGTGTGCGTTCCTGGTTTTCTGGGGGCAGAGGACTGTGAGTCGGACACTCCGAGGTCCTGTTGGGGGTTCCGTGTGGTCACTTTGGTGGTGGTGGTTCCTCTCTACCTTTGACTTTGCGAAGTTTCTGAACAGCTTACACACGGCTGCGCACATGGGCACCGCCATCGCCTCTGCTGGAAGCTAGGGAGCAGGCTGTCCTCACAGACTCGGGGTGTGCTGAAGGGAACCCGCCCTAAAGCGCCAAGTCGGGTGCCTGTCCAGCTGCACCGAGAATCTTCGCCTCCAGAAAGGTGGTACCACCTACTTCATGACCTTGAGCTGGACGTCTGTGAGGAGGCAGCCCCTGTGAGCCAGTCCAGTCTCTTCCTGTCCTGTGGGCACTGGCTGCTCTGCTGCTACAGCTAGAATTTAAGATGCTCTTCCCTGCTGAGATTCTGTGCTGTCATACACCAGATAGTAGAGACAGCAGTGGTTCTGGGGGCCCCCATCTGGGAAATGGGGTGCGGTATACATGTGCATGGGTCCGTTTCCATTTCTTCTGCCAGCCTGTGGAGTGAGTGCTGCTGGTAGCCGGCACCCTTGGTGGGGCCTGACAGCGCCACTGTGGCTGCCCCTCTTTCCCCAGAGCTCCCTGGCACAGCACCGCAGTAGGCTGCTGGGGTGCCGTGGTGTCCCCACGCACAGTGGCGCTGTCCAGTGGGCCGGCCGTCTTCCTGAGCCTGTGAGTGCTGCTTCCTGAATCCTGAACTGGTTACTCTGTTAGCATTTTGGAGTGTGGGGCCTTGACCGGGTGGGCTGCATTTCTGGGAGTGCTGAGGGAGTTCGGGACGGGTCATGGTGAATGTGAGGTTTTCGTGGTGGCGAACCCCTTCATTAGAGTTGGGCCTTTGCCTGTCAGCAGCCGTCCCGTGTGGCAAGTACCCTTTGTCAATACCCATGGTCCCAACATGGTTCCAGAAGGCTGGTGGCAGGCAGCCTCCGACCCTGCACCAGGCCTGGCCTGGGACTGCTGGCTTGCACTGGGAGCAGACCCGTCCTGATCCCTCAGGTGTGGCTGTTGCAGTTCTCGGCCAGTATGTAACCCCGTCATCACTGGCAGGCAGCGTAGTTGAGTGTGTATCATCCTGTGTCTTGTGACCAGTCTCTGAGCTGTGCATTTGTACTACCACTGTATTTGTGTACTTTAACAATTGTGTAAATAATAAATTCATAATGACTTCTACCTTTGTTCCCAGCCCCTTTTGAGTGGTCTTTATTTCATCAGCTGAGTTTTCCAAGGGTTCAGGTTGACCATGGGAAACTGACAGGGAGGGTGGCAGTCTGCTTGTCCTCTTAGCCTGTGGTGTTGAGGACCTGCTTAGAGCAGGCTCCAGAAGGACACCTCCCACCTCCCCAGAGTGGACTGTGGTGGGTGTGAGCTGGAGCGGGGGGTGCATGCAGTGATTCCAAAGGCCCCTCTCCAGCCTAGTGCCCTTTTGGAGATAGTCCCGTGACCTCCATGCCCCAGGGGCTATGTTGGCCAGAAGCACACCAGCACCTCAGGCTTTCTGGAAAGTAGACAGTGAGCAAGCTAGCAAGATGACTGGTGAACACCACAGTGGACAGCATTTTCCATACGGTGACTGCTACTCAAATTCCCATAGGTGCAGGGAGAGGGCGTACACCTTCACCACAACATACCTTCTCAGGGTGGGCATCAGGCTGTTGCTGCTGGAGCTGTGCCCAGGCCTCTCCTAACCTCCTGGTCTGCCTTTCTGCAGGCAGCAGCCAGGCTCCCCTGAGTCAGGGTGCATTTGCAGCAGTCAGGTGTGGACAGGACTTCCTAGTCCACCCACTGGAGGTTGCTGGAGCCAGGAACAGACAAGCCCTGTGCAGGCATGTGCGCATGTGCCAGAGCTCCCCGGCAGTCCTGCTAGACTCCTGCAGTGCCTTCTTGCCATCTCACCCCAGCTAGACGCCCATAACCAGAACGCCTGGCCCTTGGCCTGAATTGCCTTTTCCCAGCCCCCTGCAGCCTTCCTGTTCCCCAGACATCCCAAGTTGGTCATTCCTGCCTCACACGGTTCCTGGAGGTGCTGGCAGGTATCTCCCTGTCCCTCCCCTCCCTGGCTGTGGGGCAAGACACTTTTGTCAGCTCTGCCCAGGCTGGCACCTTCCCCAAGCAGAACCAGAAGGCATGGGGTGGTGGTTCACCCACTGCCTCTGCAGCCATCCATATTTGGGTGCCATGAACCTATAAGGGTGCCAATGCTGGAGGTGAGGAGGAGCTGGTTGTGATTCTGCATCCCTGAGGCCAGGCTGCAGTGTTGAGCCCCACAGTGGGCCTCTCAGGGGTTCAGGACATGGTGTCCCCCAGCCACCAAGGCCCTCTCTGGGTCCCACGCGTGCCTGGACCTGGGAGTTCTTTGTAGAGGCCCAGGAGGGGGCGGCCCAGGAGAGCATGAGGGCAGGGATCAGAGTTGCACCCCCAGCACGTGATCAGGCAGCAGCCCAGGTTGTTGGACCCCAGTGCTGGTGTGGGGACCAGGGGATGTCTGTGCTCTCTACAGGCCTGAGTGGGCGCACTTGGCATGGGCCGGATGGATGTGCTGCTCGGGGTTGGCCTTCACAGGGTGCTGCATGTGAGCTACTTTGCTGCCCAGATCCTCCCTGTGGGGCAGCCCTGGTCATAGCCCATGTCCTGGTGTGCCCCAGCTTCTTCCAGGGTATTTGGGGCCTTCCTTGACTCTTTTGACCCTCTGCCACATACCTTGCCCACTGGTCAGCATCAGTATCACCTGCCTAGCAGCCACAGCTTAAGGATGTGAAGTGTCCCTTTCCCTGTGCTTGGAGACCATCTGGAACCACTGGCTCATAGGTCTGGAGGGCTTCAGGGCCACGCTGCCTTCCCCGGGAAAGGGGAAACCCGCAGTGGGTCCTTGCCAGCTGAGCTGCAGTCATCTTCCCAGGGAGCATCCCAACGTCCTGACCATCTCAGAATCACTCGGGTCCCCAAAGCCTAACTTTCAGGAATCACCATTTCCTGGCTCTCTTATGCCCTGGCCACGTGCTCTGGGTGTAAGTGTGGGACAGGAGGGAAAGGCCTGACAGCCCTGGAGCAGGGGCACTGCGCCCTGCTGTGGTCACCCAGGGGAAGAGGGCCCGCTGTAGGTGGGAGACTCAGGAACCAGGAGAGGGTGATCACTGGTGGTGGATCAGCTCTTGCCATAGTTCCAAGGGCAGCCAGGTCCAGGAGGGAAGAAAGCAGGTCTTGGGGCCCTCAGGGGCCCTGAGTGGGGGTGCCTGAGAGAGGGGAGCATTGGCTACGTGCCACCGAGGCTCTACACTTTCCTACACCCGCTCCCCATGTTTTGTGCCGCCCTCTGGTTCCTGGAGATTGCCTATGGCCATGGCCTGGACTCATCCTGTCCTGAGGCCTGGGGTTCCCACTATTCCCACTGCATGTGGCAAGGTTGATAACCTGGGGACATGTATGGCCCTGGGCCATCTGGGCTAGCCCATCACCCCTACAGCTGCTAGCACTGCCCATGAGCCAAGCCCCTGACTTAGGGTACAGGAAGACCAGAGAAGGGAAGGGCACCCGAGAGCCATGGGACTATATCAGGGCTGCCAGCAGATGAAACTGCCCCTGGCTTCCTCACAGAACTGGACAGGGCCAGGGCCAGGGCCCGGGCCCAACGAAGCGAGGTCGGGACAGAGGAGAGACTGGGCCTGAGACGTGAGCTCTCGCCTCCTTTTCGTTGCAGAGGAGCAGGGACATGGCGTCTCTTCGGTTGCACGCGGCCCGTCAGGGTGCCCGCTGCCGTCCCCAGCGCCCACGACGCACCACCTACTGAGGGGCTTCAGCTGCCTCTGACCAGGCTCCCAGCCACGCAGGCCGCCGCTGGCCACAAGGGCAGGTGGGTGTGAGGTGCCCAGGGCAAGCCCGAGCGCTGAGCACGGGCTGGATGGAGGAGGAGGGGAGCAGAGATGAGCAGGCGCTGGCCACATAGAGCAAATCTACCAGCCAACCAGGGGACAAATAAATGGAAGGCAGGAAAGTGTGTGTTGAGGCCACACGCAGGAAACAGCTCCCACTGCACCTCCACTCAGCCCTCGCACCACACTGGGTCCTGCGGGTCCAGGCACCTAGCTGGGGACCCCTCTAGCTTGCAGCCCCCTCCCTGCCTGCCCCCTTCTCTCCACCGTCTGTGCCCTGTGAACACAGTCGCTGCTCAGGGAATGTTGCAGAGCAGACAGCAGTAGGAAAACTGACAAGGACCAGAGCAGTTTGTAAGAACAACCAGGTCATTTCCAAACCCAAGCGAGCTGAGGGTACACCGGCACACACCACACGTAGCTCCGAGGACCAGGCCCCCAGACTCCTGCCACACGCAGGTTTATTTCGCACCTTCACGGGTGGAATGAGCTCTTTGTACCCTAGACAGAGAGGGGTGGGCACCGTAGGAGGCGAGGGCAGGGTGGAGGGTCAGACAGGCACCAGGGAAGGCCTCGGGGAGGTGTCCACTCGCCAGCCCGCCCTCCTATTAAAGTCATGTTGTCTCAAAGCCTGGGCTTCTAGGTCCTTGACCACGTGGGGGGCATGGGCTGTTTGGGGTGAGCAGGCGGCTTGTAACCATGGGCTTGGCTTCACCGCAGATCCGCTGTGGAATGACACGTTCCCACCCCGCCACCTTCCCCGCAAAACACAGGTCAGGTGATGACCCGATGACCAGCACCCAGCACGGAGCCAGTGGCCCTGCCTCAGCTGGTCCTGTTTGTGAAATAAATACAAGCGTTGCCAGTCTCTGTAGCTCTTCCCTGCACCCTGCCAGCCCCGCCAGGCCACTCACACGCTGGTCTCCGGGGTGTGGACCACCTCCCCGTTTTTCTCAGGCTCTGCCTTCAGGAAGTGTTCCACCTCCCGGGAGTCCACCCTCACATCTGTGGGGGGCTTTTGGAGCCTCTCTGCCTCCGAGGTAGCCTCCTCAGGTTGTGACGCCTCGCGCCTCTTCCTGATGCAGAAGAAGTTGCCCAGCAACAGCACGAGGGAGGAGGTGAGCACCTCAGTCCCCGCCAGGATGAACACGTACTTGTAGACGTGGGTCGTGTCCAGCAGCTTGCCTGCAGGGGGACTTGGGTCACCAGCTGCTCCAAGGGCACGGCACACCCCAGGGCCAGGCTCCTACAGAAGCCCCTGTGGTGTCTGACTTGCAGAACTGCCCCCTCTCCCTCGCCCGAGGCCCTCTGAGGTCTTCCTGCCGTCCCCACCTCCCTCCTGCCTCCTCTCAGGAGAGTAGAGACAGACCCTAGAAGCAGAAGTGGCATTGCAGAGTACCCAGGTGTGGCCCTGCTGCCCACTCAGGAGGGGCACTGCTGGACTCAGCCTGGCCCTGTGCCCTGTGACCAAGCAACCCCAAGACAGGGAGAGCCACTTGTGTGGCCTCCGACCCCACCCCACCCCACCCCACCTCAGGATCCTTCTGGGGAAAAGGAACAGCCAGGGGCTAAAGGGGCTAGGGCATGCCAAGTGACCTCTCCTTGAGCCAGGACCTGGCCATGCTGCCCTCCAGTTGGACGTTCCAGATCCCACTGGGAGTTTCCTCAGTAGAGGCCCAGAGTTTCAAGCACTGGATTGGCCCCCAGCAAGCCGTCCCTCTGTGTGCAGATGGCCTGAAAGCGGCTGCCAGGCCTGTGGGTGTTCCTGCCCGGCTCAGGGCCCGCTGCTCACTCCTGACCAGGGCCCACAGTGAGTCCCTAGGAAGCCCAGGGCCTGCCAGCCTTTGCCCTCAGCAGTACTCACCGCCCGACGGGGGTCCGATGAGCACAGCCACAGCCTCCAGCAGCAGCACAAGGCCAATGGCACTGGAGAACTTCTGGGTGCCCACAATGGCCATGAGCACCTCAAACTGCAGGGCCCCCACCATGCCGTAGGAGATGCCGAAGAATATGCAGAAGACCACCAGGCCACCGTAGTCGCTGGCTGTGGAGCCCGTCAGGTCGGTGAAGCCATTGAAGAACATGGCGAAGCTGAAGAGGTAGACCGAGTAGGGCCGCACCTTCTTGAGCCCGGTGATGAATCCAGCTGTGGGCCTGGCGAAGATGTCGATGAAGCCCAGGATGGTGAGCAGGAAGGCAGCCTGCGTGTCGGGCACACCCAGGTCCTTGGCGTAGCTCACCACAAACACGGGAGGTACGAAGAGCCCCAGCACCATGATGGAGGCGGCGGCAGCGTAGATGACGAAGCCGCGGTCCCGGAAGACGCTCAGGTCCAGCAGGCGCCGGGCAGGCCGCTGGGGGCCTGCTGCCCCGCCCGGCTGGGGTGCCACCAGGGGCCTCATGAGCGCAGCGCACACGCAGCAGTTGAGCAGCAGGCCGCCCAGGATGAGGAAGCCACCCCGCCAGCCGTACCGGTCCTGCAGCAGCTGCCCCAGCGGCGACAGCGCACACAGGAACACTGGGCTGCCCGCGGCCGCCAGCCCGTTGGCCATGGGGCGCCGCTTGTTGAAGTAGCGGTTGAGCATGATGAGGGAGGGTTGGAAGTTGAGAGCCAGGCCCAAGCCTGCAGGGGCAGGCGCAGGCGCAGGGTGAGACCCTCCCCGGCCCCAGACTTGCATCCCTGCCCCCGCCCTCCACCCCGGCCCTGTGGAGTGTGGTCTGACAGGAACCCCTGCTGCTTGCCTCTGGGCTGTGCTCACTGCTCCCCCAGATCCCACCCCCAGAAGCTCCCGGCCAGGCCCTGCTCACCAGTTATGACCCCTGTGGTGAGGTAGACTTGGATGATGCTCCTGCAGAAGGAGGCAGCCACCATGCCCAGGGACGCGAAGAGGCCACCCACAAGCATGACAGGCCTGCAGCCAAAGCGGTTCACACACACGCTGCAGAGGGGGCCTGCGGGGAGGCGGCTGCTGAGGAGGGGCTGCCCCGGCCTCCAGCTGGGCTGTGCCTGTCCAGTGCCCAGGGCCTCTCCCAATGCCACCTCAACTCAGCAGGGATGCCAGGAGCCCACAGACCAGGTTCCCCAAGGGCAGAGCCCAGCCACCCATGGGGCGTATTCCCATGATGGTCTGGTCGGCCTGGGCAGGTCATCAAGGACTAGCCGTGGTTCAGAGGAGGGCTCCCCGCGACCTCGCCCTCTGGGACTGTCTGAACGACCCACATGTTGGGACGGGGTGGAGACAGACTGCTTTCTAGCAGGTCCCCATCTCAAGGGCTCCCTTTAGGCCACTGTGGATCTGCAATGGTTTGGGCTCAACCCTGGGACAAGCCCCACCCATTGGGCTCCTGTGGCCACGAGGACTTGGCCAGCCTGTCCCAGGCGTTGCCACAGGTGGCCCCTGAGCCGACGGCCTCACCTGTGCCGTACAGCATGGCCAGCAGGATGGAGGAGATCCAGGCTGTGTCGCTGTAGCCAATCCCGAACTCCCGCATGAGCTCCTTGAAGAAGACGCTCACTGCCTTGGGGAAGGCGTAGGAGAAGCCCGTGATGACAAAGCAGCCGAAGAGCACGGCCCAGCCCCAGCCCCCATCGGGGGCCTTGACGCCCGTGGGACCCTCGTCCACCACAGCTCCTCCCATGGCCAGAAGGGCTGGTTCTGCCGCACCTGGGGAGAGAGGAAGCAGGGCTGAGTTGGGTGAATGAGCCCAGAGTCTCAGAGGCAGGCAAGGGTTAGCACTGCACTCATGGCTGCAGGGGCTCCGTGGGCAGCCTGCCCTGCTGCACCCACCCCTCCCCAGCCTCCTGCTCCTGCGGCTGGCTTTCTGAAGGGCAAGGGCTGATTTGGGCTCAGCCAGGACTTTTGCCTCCTGGAAAGTGCAGACCCCGCTGGGTGGACAGCCTGGCTGGTGTGTGTCCTGCCCCTGTGGCCCGCTGCATTCAGCCTGCAGGAACTGGCATGCAACATCCCTCCCCCTCCTCGGGCCATGCCAAACCCTCCCCTGGAGGGCGTGCGAGGGTGCTGCCAACCTCTGCCCCGCTGTCTAGATAAGATGGCCAGGCTAACCCTTGCTCTCCTGCCCCCAAAAGAGTCAGGCTCCCTGCCCCTGTTCACCACACCCCTATTCAGCTTCCTGGCTGTACAGGGCAGAGGCCTTCATATGGGAACAAGCCAGATTGGGGTTGGGGAGAGGCCAAGGTTTCCGAACTGATAGGTCAGATGAGGGCACCTTGCGGTATACCCAGGAAGGTCAGGAGGAGGCTTCCATTGGCCCCCCCCAAGGCTGCCAGGGCAAGGAGCGGATTGTCCTAAGCCCCACACAGGCCCAGGGCTGACTTCCCTTGTAAATTCCAGGAGCTTAGCTCCTCTAAGACAGAGTAAGTCAGAATGTTGGGACCAGATTTCCACCTTCCCATCCCATCCCATTGGAAGTTGCCAATCCCACATCCCCCACCTCACCAGGGAGAGAGTTATGACAGGGTCTGTGTCCCTGGGTGTCTGGAACCCGAGGCCTTCAGCCTAGCCTGCGCAGCGTCTCCCACCAGTGGTGTGCAGCCAGCCAGCTCTCTGGGGAAGAAAGTGCAGCCCTGGTGTGTCAGGTTAGCCATTGTCCATGGTGTGACCGCCCCTGCGGCAGGTACCTGGGGTGGGGGCGGGATAGGCTTGGGCCCCACCCCACCCCCTTCCCCGCGTCTTCCTGAAGGTATCCCTATCCCCAAGGGATACCTTCAGGCATGCCAGAGACTGCACTCAGCTGGGTTCCCCATCCCCCCAACCCCCCCTGCAGGGGCCACACCAGTTCTATGATGCTGTGCCCAGCTGAGACCCCCAGCCGGGAGTGGGGCCAAAGGAGGAACATCATGCACAGTGAGGACACACTGCAAGGGGCACTGAGGGCAGGATCACTGTGCCATCTTAGTGCCTAGGTAAAAGACCTAAGAGCCCACACAGCAGGGAGCTGACCAGTCACCCTAGGGACCACTCACTGCGAAGGAGCCAATGTGGGAGGGGCGATTGTCCCTGCCAGCCCCCACTTGCTTGGAGTGTGGCCTTGGATGCTTATAGCACTTTCTGAAACAAGTCAGGCAGGCTGGGACGCAGTGCAGAGTCCTGGCCTAGCACACGTGAGTACTGCAAAAATTAAATGAATGAATCGAGGGCCTTGCAAAGTCCAGGAGGGGAGTGCTCAGTAATGGCCACAGGAGCAGCCCGACCCCACATGCCCAGGGTCCTCCCCAGAAACAGAGTGAGGCAGCTGGGGCTGTACCAGCCCTGCCCAGTCCTGCTAGGGGAATCACAGGCACCCCAGCCTTTTGAAGTCCCCCTTGCTTGTCCACTGCCCACCGGGGGCTGGGCCCTCTTGGAGGCATCCAGGGTCCTCAGGAGGCAGTAGGGACTGCTGGGAAGCAGAGACATCTGCCACCTGCTGGAGAAGAGCACCCCTGGGCTGTGGCTTGGGAAGGCAGGCAGAGGGTGGGCTGGTGCCAGGACTCAGGCCAGGAGAGCACAGCATGTTCTAGGCCCTTCAAGGAGGGTCACACGTGGAAGACCGTCTGTGCCACGGAGATTGTGGCGCCTGGGGCACAAGCTCCCAACCAAGGCCCAGCACTGTGGTCCATTGCCACCCAGCTCAGGCACCCTGAAATGGCCTCACCAGTCAGTGCCTACTCCAGCCTGTCACCCAGAGACGCTGCAGAGTGAGGCCTCAGCAAGGTTGTGGTTTTTCAGACCAGAGGTTGACTTTAAGCTGGCTGTCTGCCAGCCAGGCTTGGGGCAGGGTAGGTGGAGTGAGGGTCTGGGACCTCTTACACCTGGCTGCTCGGGAGGAGCAAGTCCGTGGCTCCACCTCCCAGGGACCCTGAGCATAGATAGGCTGAGGTGTGTGCAGGCTAATTATCCATCTGTCTCCACCCAGAGGAGGAAGCAGCACCCACCATGGTCCCTCTCCCACAGCATATCCATGGGCACGTCCAGCCGCCTGGCCTTTTGGTGACATTTACCCTCCCAGGGAAGCATGTGAACCAGCCCAGAAATAAACTGGCCTCTGGGTTACAGAAAGCTGATCTCCCTGGGTGCATCTGGGTTAGCAGGAGCTCCAGGTACTCCCCAGGGCTGATCCCTGGAGGTCCTTCCAAGGCCCCATATACCCCAGACCGCCAGGAGCTGACAGGGGACAGTTCATGGCAGGGGTACATGGAGAACCTTGGCCCTCGGGGAGACTCCTGGGTCCCCTCCCAAGTCAGGGCTGTGGGGCCCCTGTACTCTCCCCTCTGCCTGTACTGCATGCCTCCCACATACAACCCTGTGCCCCAGCCTGCTCTTTCTTGGCCTCCCCAGAAACCTCACCCTTCAGCAGCCTGAATCCTTAGGCTGGACTGTCTGCCCCAGGAGTGCAGGCCAGGTCCCTGCAACCTCCCTGCCTTTGTAGCCCAGGCAGGTGGCAGGCACAGGGACAATTATATTCCTTCAATCAAATTCCAGACCCCTGAGAACCAAGGAAGCAGTCCCTTTGTGCTAGGACCTGGCCTTTGAGGGTTGGAGGTGCTGAGTCAGGGAGAGGGAGGGCCTGCTTCCGGGTTCCCATTCTTCCTTCCCTCATTGACACTGTTGTGAAAGCAGGTAACCAGGGCTGGGGACGTGGGCGGGGCGCTGGGTTCCATCCTCAGCACCACATACAAATAAAATAAAGATGTAGTGTCCACCGAAAACTAAGAATAAATAAATAAATAATCAGGTAACCAGCATTGTGCCCCTCCCTGCCGGAGGCAGCCAGCACCCTCAGCCCTGTCCCCACCAGTGCAGAGAAACACAGGGGCAGGGGCTGCTTCCAGGGAGAGGTCAGAAGGCTGGTCGGGGTGGGGTGGGGGGGCTGGCCTGGGCCCTCCGCCCTGGTTCCACTGCGTGCCTCCTACCCCTGCAGGCTCCCACTTGTCCACTCACATCCTCTTCGCGGGGCCAGTGGGGTGGAAACACTGGCCTCATTTGCCAGGCTGGATACTGCCACCCAAGGCTAGCAACTGGCTGAGTACAGATCTCGGCTAGGACCCCCAGAAGTGTGGCCCCGGGGATGGCGCCCTCAAGTCCCACCTCCTACAAGGAGGCTTCTACCCTTGGCTGCCACACAGTGGACAGCCCTGGTGATCTGGTCTAGCTTCTCAGCAAGGCTGCGGTCAGTGGCTGAGGCTGCTGTGGAGGTTGGGGTGAGCGCAGAGCTGCCCTCCCCCAACACCAAAGCCTGCGGGACCCTGCATGGGCTGCCCCTTCGCCTGGCCATCTGGACCCATTCCTCCACTCCCGTGCAGCCTTCCGCCTGAAGGCCAGCGCTCCGGAGGTGCCCGCCCACCCAGGATCAGGCGTGGAGGGAGACAGGTGGGAAGAGGTGAGACGAGGCGAGGGCCCTAGGGCTGGGCGCGGGAAGCCGAGGCCCCTCCTCCGATGGACGGGCCTGCTGGCTCCTGCCGCCCGCCCGGCTGGCGGGTGGGGGTCGGCCACTCTGGGCGGGTCCCACCGGAGCTGGGCCGGGAGGGGGAAGGGGAGGATGCTCCGCCCGTGCGGCCGGCCGCGGGACGTGGGGGACGTGACCGCGCCAAGGGAGGAGCCGCCGCCGTATTGCCTGGAGTAGGCGCCCTTCCTCCGCTACCGTACTAGCCAGCGCGGGTGCCACTGGGGTCGGCCCAGCAGCAGTACAGCGCTGAGCGTCCACCGGGGCCCCGCGCACCGCAGGGACCGCGCGTCCCCCTGCGGTGCGCGCCCCCTAGGGCTGGGGCGGCTTCTTCTGTGCTCCGCACAGGCAGGACGGGTGCGCCCGGCTGGGGGCCGCTGATTCCTAAACTCAAGAGCTTCGCATCCTGGCCAAGACTCGAACTCCGGCCAGGGGCGCGCAGCCTGGGTGCGTAGGACTGCCGCGTGGGACCCTTCCCACAGATGGAGACTGAGGCTGGGACCGCAGGCCCCGCCCCTGTGCCAGGGCCCAGTGCCTGGTGGCCCAGGGCCTGATCCAGAGGTGCCTCCAATTGCTCAGCACCACCATGCAGAAGGCCCCGCCCCGGGCCTTAGGTGCAGCTGGCACTTGGCTCCTCACTGGCCCCTCCCTTCCCACACTGTCAGGTCACCGCAGGACAACCCAGGAGCCCATAAGCCCAGCACATGGCATGCTGTGGGGTCCCACACACTCTTAGAGGGCTGCTTGGGGTCAACAGAGCCCTCTCCTGTCCCTCCAAAATAGGTATCCATGCTGTGGGCATTGAGGGCCAGATGCCTTCTGGGTAGCAGGCACTACCCAAGGTCACCCAGGGAGTCTGTCTTGGGATGAGGCCTCCCAATGGCCACAGGAGGCTCTGACCACACCAGAGCCCTGGGCAGGAAAGTGCAGTGCCTCTAGTGTTCTGTTGGGAGCAAACCTGCCCCCATCACCGACTTAAGACACACACACCTGCCCACCCGAGAGCCCAGGCACTTGTGGGATTGTCCCCACCCCTCTCCCCATCCACCAGACACCAGCCAGCTCTTGGGCCTGTAAAACGAAGCTGAGGACCTCTGGACACCCCCCAGCTCCTCCCACCCCCCTCATCCCCACCAGCACCCGTCTGCTCTAAGCTTTGGACAAGTCCCCTCAGCCTACCAAGTGGTCCTGACTCTGGTCATCAGAGTGATTCTGTCAGTTTGGGTGGCCTAGACAGGCAGCCCGGTGCCTCTGGGATATGGCCCCCAGCTGCCCCTTTGTCACTAACCCAGACTCCAGGTGCCACACACACACCAGTCCACAAACCCAGACCCACCCACTGAGCCCAGAGCTAAGGGCTTTCCTTCCACTAGGTGCCTGCTCTTGATGGGCCCAGCATCCAGCTAGTAGTAATCAACCCACTTTTCAGATAAGAAAACTAAAACTCCTCCTAGTTTTTACTCAGGCTGGGGAATTGGGAGGCTAGTCCACTTCTTGTCCCACCTGTATCCAGCCTGCTGGCTTTTGGCCCCGGAGGGAGCGTGGGTGTGTAATGGTGAATTTAGGGACATAGTAAGAGGACAAGGAGGGGCGAGAAAGCAAGATCCCAGGGCTTCCCTCCCCAGGGTCCAGGCCTGGCACGCACGTGCACCGTTCAGGGAGGTGGCTCCACCAAATATAGCCCGCGGCCCTGGCCCGGGCTGCCCGCACACCGAGCTATTTATACTCGGGACCAGCTCTGCTGCCCGGCGCTATCACCTCCTGGCCAGAGCCCAGTCCCCGAGGGCCGCCCGACGGATGGGTGCCCAGGCGGGCTTGGAGGCAAAGCTGGGCGCCTGGGGTTGGAAGGCACACAGCTGGCTGCCTGGAGCTCTTGGGGGGGCAAAAGGGGCGGGAAGGCTCGCCTAAGCCGAGACGCCCCCAGAGCCCGGTAGACCGCGAGGGGAAGGGGCGAGGGGGCGGGAAGCCGCGGCCCGGAGGAGGACGACGCGCGGCGCCAGCTCAGCCCACCAGCGACTCGGAGAGTCCCGGCCTCCGCCCGCGCGCCCAGCATCCCGGCCGCGCCTACCTGCCGCCGCTCGGCCGCCGCGCCCGCCGCTGCCCGACTCGGCTGCCAGGCGCCGCGCCGGGGGCGACTTTAAGTGCTCTCGTCGCTCGCGCCGCACGTCCCCTGCGCACGTCACCGCTGCCTGGCGCCGCCCCTGCCGCCCCGCCCGGACCCCGCGCGCCGCCGCCGGAGGGGGCGGCCAGGCCGCTGCTCCCCGACGGCGCGGCCCGAGGCCTGCCAGCCCCGCCGGGCCCACGGACACCCGGCCGCGGCCCGCCCTGTCCGTGCTCCCCGAGCCGACCCCTGCCCGGACGCGCTTCTTGCCGGCCGGTCCGCCTCCTCTGCGCCCCTACCCGGGCCGCCCGGCAGCCTCCCTCTGGCGCTGGGCCAGGAGTTCCCGCCGGCTGAGACGCGGCCACTTCATTTCCTCTCCCAAGACCACGGTTTGCTTCTGCTCCAACTCTGACAGGAGCATGGCCGCGTCCCTGCGACCTCCAGGACTGGGACCTCTCGTCCTGCACTCCCGGGGCGCGCCCTCTAGCAGACAGGAGCGCACACCCACCACCGCGCGCAGCAGCCCCACCGTCCCACCGCCTGGTCCAGCCCTCCGCCCCACGCCCGGCTCCCTGAGGCCGCGCGTCGGACCTGCGCGCATCCTATTGCCGCCTGCTCCCGGTGCCGGCGCCGTGCCGTGCCGTGCCGTGCCGGTGCTGGTGCAGGCGGTTACAGCTTGGGCAATCTTGGGCAAGGCCTTCAGCGCCTCTCAACTTCCCTTTCCTCAGTAGCTCTGCCCTCTGCAACACCAGATGAAGTCCCAAACCCCAGCCCTGACCCTCCGCCCCTGTCTCCCTGCCCAAAACCACGGAGCTGCCCCCAGCCCCCGCCCCGGAAGGAGTAGGATTGGAAGGCCAAGGGGCTCTTTCCAGCTTGAGGGAGTCCACATTTGTCCTCTGTGGGTGTGTCTAGGCCCAGCTTTCTTATTGGCACCATGAAAGTAGCTGATCGGTGCTAAGGTTTGAGGAGGTGCCAGGGAACTGGCCTTTCTCAGCCTGGACCTGGAACACCATTTGTCCTCTGCCATCCTTGGGGACCATGGGAGCACTCCAGGTCTTCTGGGGCTAAGGAGCCTGAGGTGGGTAACTTGACTTTAGCAGAAAGATCCCAACACCAGGATGGGGATCCGGGAGAGAGTGGGTGGTGGACCCTCTTCCAGAGGGCTGTGGGCAGCCCACCCTCTTGGCCCAGTAAAGGGAGGGCAGCATGGCATTGGCCTTGGCCCCAGAGCCCACTGTCTGGTGCCCTAACATCTTGAGATGTCCAGCACAGTAAGGTCTATTGCTCTTTATTTCTTTTACTTTTTTGTTGCTGGGAATTGAACCCAGGGCCCTTACCACTAAGCTACATCCACAGTTCTTTTTATTTTTTATTTTGAGACAGAATCTCACTAAGTTGTTTAGAACCTCACTAACTGCCTATTAGTATGCAGTGTCTTTTAAATGCTCAGACTTCAGAAAGGTCCCACTGGGTGCCCAGCACCTGGTAAGGCCTCTAGGCCTGTATCTGGACTTGGGTCTTGGATGGCCAGGCTGCACCTGACACACAGCCCCGGAGGGCACCTCGGGTCTGGGATCAGGTACCCAGGGGAGATGTCAAGCCCTCCCCTGCCTTCCCTGTGTTCATTAGAGGCAGTGATGCCAGCAGGCCTCAGTTCCCATCCCAGGGCCTAGAGCCCATGAGCACATCCGGAGGGTGTGGCTGGAGCCACCAGGGAGAATGCAGAGGTCTGCTGCCCAGCTCTGGGTGGTGTTGGGAGCACCCACTCCAGGCACGGCTCCAGTGTCAGTTCCCACACAGTGGCCCCAAGCTAAACCCCAGGGGGAGCCATCCTGGTGAAGGGGCAGCTTCCCAGCACTGCCACCACAGTCCACCAGCCCTGCCCTCCTGTTCCAGGTCACAGCCACAGGTCCTGTCAGGTCCTGAATGTGCTCTGAGGAGCCTCAGTGGCTGCAGCCCAGGGGTGGGGACAGCCTGGAGGGTGGCCCTGCCTTTCCTAGAGCAGCATCCCTGGAAACAGTATGTGTGGACCATCCCTGAGCCAGTGTCATCTGCAGAAGGCTGGGAGCCAGGCTCTGACTGTGTCTCCAGAAAGGATCTTGAAACCTGGGAGAGTTTCCTGACAGTGACTCCAGCAGCCACCTCAGGGAGGGTGGAAGGACCGGCTTCACTCCTGTCAGGTGCCAGGGAATCTTCTAGGCTTGGAGAGCCATGCAGACCCCACCCTGAGTCCTTGGGGTCCCCCAACCTCCAGGTCCCAGCCTACTCACCTGCCCTCCACGCCTGGCTGTACCACCCTGAACCAGCTGATGCCCCATAGACTGGACTGGGGCTGAGACAGACCAGGTCAGGTGAAGCAAGCTGAGTCCAGGGACAGACGTGCCACTGAGCCCTGGCTCCTCCCTTCCTGGGGTCCCCAACTGCCTGGCTCCTGCTGCTGCCGCCTGAGGGCTCCCAGTCCAGAGGATCTGGTGACACAACTGCTACAGCCTGTCCCTCCCCCCCCCACCACCGCCCGGGGCCACACCTCTGCACAGACTCCAGGCCTCTGCAGGGGTGGTGAGAAGCAGCCATCACCAGCACAGTCTGGAAAGGGTCACACTGTGGCCCAGGTCTGAGCCCAGCCCTGCCTCCCCTTCATGCACCTTCTCCAAGGCCTTTCCCTCAAACCCTCTCCATACTCCCAGGAAAATAAACACAGACCCAACAGCTGCCTGGCCCTCCCACTGAGCTGCAGCCCAGGCAGTGGGCAGAGGAGACTGCGGGAGAAGCCGGACCTGGGCCCATCCCGGCTGGACACACCTGTGCTGCAGCCCTCTGCAGGTGTGGCATGTGGTGTGGGTGGGTGAGGGTTGGGTGCATGGTGTGGGCTGTGCTGTGCCTGGTTGGGTGGCAGATGCTGACATAGGATGGCCAGGTCCTGTTGGCAGCAGTGACCTCTCCCTCACCTGTCATGGGGAGGCAGAAGTGGGCAGGAGGAACTCTGGAGCAGGGAACCCAGGAGGCTGGGGCCAGCTGTCCGGCTAAAGTGGGGAGGGGAGCAACAGCAGGAGAGTGTGGGTGTCCTGTCCTGGGTGCTGTGGCCCACCTAGGCCTGGGGCTTGGCCTCTAAGCCTCACCTGTGAGGTGCGTCCTCCCTCCGGGCAGCCCTGAAGCCTCTCTCCATGGCCTTTCCTACAGTCCACTGAGGAAACCCCACTTTCTTCTCACCTGTTCGCTTCCCGTCTTTGTCCCCACACTGGTCACACCCAGGTGTGGACTCCTGGGCCAGAGTTGAAGTCCACTAGCCCCTCCCCACGCCCTGTCCACCCTGCACTGTGGCTCCACCCTCAGGGTCAGGTGGGGGCTGAATCCTGCTGGCCTCCCTGCCATCTTCTGAGCCTGGCATGTGCCCTCTGCTGTGCTGTGCTTGGAAGGCCATGAGTGGGCACAAGCAAGGTGGGGACCCAAGGGCCCAGCCCCCAGAGACTTCTTAGGGACTCAGACTGAGAACAGGCCTCCTCTGTCTGAGGATCACTGCTGCTGGGAGCACTGGGCATGTTGGTGTCCACCGCCTGGCCACACCTGGGACTCGGCACTCCATTGAGGGGCCCGCCCTCCCTCCCTCGTTACAGATGAGGAGA